GGAATATCCAGAATCTTTGAGATTTCTACTATCTCTAAAATGTCGGAATAACTCTGGAACTTTTGGAATCTTTATAGTCTTCAGAATCTTTGAAATTTTTAGAATCTGAGGAATTTTCAGAATTTTTAGTATCTCCAAAACCTTCAGAATCTTTCGGAATCTTCAGAGTATTCAAAATCTTTGGAATCCTCAGAATCTCCAGAATCTTAAGAATCTCGAGAATTTCTAGGATCTCCAAGGATTCGGAATTATTGGAATTTTTGGAATCTCCAGAGTCCCGGAACAGTCGGAATTTTTTAATTTTCTGGAATCTCTGGACCTTTGCCAAATCAAAATGTCGAAACATCGGAATGTCGATAAATCAAAACATTTTCAAAATAGGAAAATCTAAAAACCGAAATCCGAAAAAGTCGAAAAATCAAGCAATTGAAGAAACATCAAAAAGTCGAAAAATCTAAAATTTATATAATCGAAAAACTAAAATATGGAAAAATATTAAAATCCAGAAATTGAAAAATTCCCAGAATTGAGAAATCGAAAACTTGAAAAATTTTAAAAATCGAAAAACACGAGACGAAAAATTGGGATATTAAAAAATTTTTAAATCGGGAGACTCAAACATCAAAAAATCGTAAAATCGTCATGTAAAATTAAAAAAATCGAAAATGTAAAATTAAAGAAATTGAAAAACCGAAACATCGAAAAATTGAAAAACCGATACATTGAGATATTGAAATAGTCCAAAATCGAAGAATTAACTGAAAAATTTAAAATTAAATCGAAATATCGGAAAATTGAAAAATCCAAAAATCGGGAAATTGAAAAATGAAAACCCAAAAAATCATAATTTAAAAACCAAAAAAAAAAAAAATGAAAAATGTAAAATCGACAAGTTGAATGATTGAGAAAGTGAAAAATTTTTAAAATAAAATATTTTAAAAATCTTTGAGAATTTTAGAATCTTTAAAGTCTCGGAATGCCTCTGGAACTTTTGGGATCTTTATAATCTTCAGAATCCTTTGAAGTTTTAGAATCCGCAGAATTTTCAGAATTTTTAAAATTTCCAGAACCTTTAGAATCTTTCGAACCTTTCGAATTTCTGGAATTTCTAGCACCTTTGATATTTTTATAACCTTTGGAATTTTAAAGTATTTAGATTATTGGATCCTCCGAGTTACTCAGAATCTTCGGAATCTTTAGAATATTCTGAATCTTTGGAGTCTTCAGAATCTCCACAATCTTTAGAATCTCGGAAATTTCTAGAATCTCCTAAGATCCGGAATTATTGGAATTTCTAGAGTCCCGGAACATCCGGAATTTTTAAAATTTCTGAAATCTTTAGAATCTTCAAAATCTTCAAAAATCTTAAGATTTTTTGGACTCCTCACTCTTCGAAATACTCGCAATCTACGAAATCTTCAGTCTACAGATTTTGGAATTTCCAACCAAAAAAAAACCTTCGAAATACTCACAATATTTTGAAATTTCTGGAATTTTTAAATCTTTGGAATCTTTATAATCCAAAGTCTTAATATTTTTTGGACTCTTCTTTGAAATTTTTCGAATCTTTATATTCGTTCGAATTTTTTCAGTATTCAGATTTTCTGGAATCTTCACTCTTAGAAAAATTCAGGGTCTTCAGAATCCTCAAAATCTTCAGATTATCTTTGGAATCTCCGTCGAAAGTCTCGAAATACTCGTAATTTTTGTGATTTCTGGAATCTCTGGAAGGTTTGGAATCTTTGAAATCTTCAATTTTCAAATTTTTTGGAATGTTTAGAACATTTAGAATTTTTAGAATCCCTGGAATCTCGGAATATCCAGAATCTTTGAGATTTTTACTATCTCTAAAGTCTCGGAATAACTCTGGAACTTTTGAGATCTTTATAGTCTTCAGAATCTTTGAAATTTTTAGAATCTGAGGAATTTTCAGAATCTTTAGAATCTCCAGAATCTTAAGAATCTCGGGAATTTCTAGGGTCTCCAAAGATCCGGAATTATTGGAATTTTTGGTATCTCCAGAGTCCCGGAACATCCGGAATTTTTTAATTATCTGGAATCTCTGGACCTTTGGAATCTTTATAATCTTTGCAATCTACGGAATCTTCAGTCTTCAGATTTTTGGAATTTTCAACCTTCGAAATACTCAGAATATTTTGAAATTCCTGGAATTTTTAAATCTTTGGAATCTATATAATCCTTAGAATCTTCAGTCTTAAGTTTTTTTGAACCGAAATACTCAGAATCTTTCGAATCTCTGGTCTTGGACTCTCCGGAATTTTTGAAATTTTTAGAACATCTGAGACCTTTGCACTCTTTATATATTCGTTCGAAGTTTTCAGTTTTCAGATTTTCTGGAATCTACACTCGTCGAAAGATTCAGGATCTTCAGAATCCTTGGAATCTTTAGAATGTTTAGAATTTTTAGAATCCGTATTTTTCAAAACCGAAATGTGGAAAAATTGAGAACCCGAAATTTGAAAAATCGAGAAATCGAAAAATTTGATTTTTTTTCCAAAAATCTCGATTCAAAAACCACAAGTTCAGGACTACGTTCCTTTTGAAACAACTACGCTAAATTCTTAATCAAAATGATGACGTCATCTCAAAATTTTGGCCAATAAATCCTAGTTAAAATGTTATTATTTTTTAGAATTGCTTACACAAGGTGGAAAAAATGATTGTGTCAATTTGTTTTATTGATTAAATCAGGAACTGCAAAACCGATGATTTGAAATCTTGCAGTTACATTTTTTAGAACTGTTTATACAGGTGACTCAAAGTAGATTAGCTCATTCATTAATTTTTTTCAAGCAAATGATTTATAATTACCAGACAGCTTCGTCGAAATTCTTTCTTAGTTCCACGAGACTGAACAGGTTTTATTAAAAAAATTGGCACAAAACAAACAACAAAAATTTATCTCGAGAGTTTACCGTGAGATAATCTGGCATATTTTCGTCAAGTTTGCAATTTTTACAAGCGCGACTTCCACGAAAGAAACCCAATCTGGTGACTCGAGCACGTTCATTTCCGCGAATATTTTCGAATATTAAATTTTATATTTAGAAACGGCGCAACGCGCTTTTACGAAAACAACCAAACCTTTACCACGAATCGACTCAGTTATCGATTACCACATTTTATAGCCTCCGGACAAACCTGAATCCGCTGAACAAACATCGTAAAACATCAATGAACGCATCACCGTTAGTCACAATTTACTTACTTTCGATTTTATTGCAGAAACACGTGGTCGGTGTAAAATTTAATCAAGTCAATACGTACCAAGACACTGCATACAAAATCAAGATTTATTGTGTAGAATCCCGTTATTATTGCGTAGAAAATGTTATCGCGATATCAGCACTCCACTTGGCACAAGCACAATGAATGAAAAAGATTCAAATACTCGCCTTAAACGAATCACTTGACGTAATCAGAGCGAACTGAAGAGCTTAATAAATGTGAGTATTGAGTGGAAATTATCAATGTCAAAAAAATATGAATTTTCGCTCCTAGTTTTATTGTAACATAGTACGGACTAGTTGTTGTTGTTACATTATTTAGTAAAATATTGACGTTCGCTAACGCATATCACACATGCGTTAGCAATTTAACTGTCTTGATGGAAGGACGTTTAAGGATTAATCAAGACCATGAATCACACCGCTAACTCGAACTGTTAAATGTTTGCATTTAATTTGTTCAATTTATGACATCACGTGTCGTGACTTTGATTAAAGTAGGAAGATTACAATAGAAAGGACGTTAATTGTAGTTTACTGAAGTCATCAAAAAGCAATAACAGAGCGCCGATGACGGAGATAACCATCACATAATTACTATTATCGAAGTTATAAAGCCTTAACGAGATTAATTAAAGTGCACATGTTGGCGTTACGGAACTAATTATACCAATCCCACAATAATTTTCCAAAAAAAGTCGTATTTTAAAAATCACCATGTATAAAAAAAATGCACATAACCTCATTTTTCTTACCACGACGTGCAGAGGAGTCTCGTAGTGCCTCAACACCACCACCGTGATGGACTTGCCCTGGGCCACTGCGATCTGCGCCAGCACCTCCTCGGTGGTGACATCCCCCGGAAGGTCCTGAAGAAGGGGGTCCGCGGCTATTAACCTCCGCAGACTGCTCTGCGTGATCTCACACAAATCCTCGTAGCTCAAATTATCCAGTTCTTGCTCCAAGTTCTGTTTATCGTCGTCCATCCTGCGTGAAAATAACCAGAGCGTTCAGTCAAAACAACAATAAATATTGAGGTTATGACGACACGGGTTTGACGTTTGACAGACGACAGTGGCGTGTCTAGAATTATTTTAATGCGACGCACGCCACTGAAACTGGTAATTAATGCGGGAAAAAATCGCTTTTTGGGTTAATCGTTGCCGAAATGTATGGAGGAGGGGGTGTGTGCGGTGGTGGTGGTCTACGAAAGGGTGTCATGCAGTTAGAGTAGACGTACACACTCGTGGTGCTCGTGGACACAGTTTATGAATGAAGAGGGAAAAAACTCACCACTTTTTTTTCGAAATTGTTGAGTCGTTCGAGCGGAAAGAGCGTAAAAGTTGGATAATTACCGCGACCTTCTGCGGATTAATTTTGAATGTTTATGATCTAACAAGCTGAAAAATTATTTTACAAGGTAACAGTCGGCCAGGTGGTTGGTCGCCAAGGTGCGTGAAGGCGAGGTTTGAGTGAGGATTTGGGCGACTATGAACCCACCTGTGGCATTTGTGAGGTTCACCTGAGAGGCGTGGCCTCAGAGTCATAGAACTGGAGTCATAAATCGGGTTTTTCCGCTGGTCATAGCACGATTTTTTTCACTAAAATCAATCACTGACTTATTCTACGATACCTAATTTTGCTTGTTTGGTTACTTATCGACTACTCGAGTTTAAATAATTTATGACACTTCCATGACTCGCTGCGCTTTCCGACCAACTTCTTTCACTTTTCGCGGTCAACGCGATTTCTTCATCGCTGGAGGACCGTTTACCGTCGCCCGTCGCTGTGACTAATACCTGCTCGTTGCTGGTTTGTTGACGACGGGTTTAACAGTTCTAGTCCCAGAAGGCTTTGAGTATTTTCGAAAAAGTGAGTATTTCGGACTAGTTTCGTACTAGGTATGCAGTGTTAAAATTGTTGAATTTGTTTGGTTTAATAACGGTGAAAGTTTTGTCGAGTTTGGCTTGTGGGCGACTCTCAATTTGGTCATTTTTAGCAAAATGCATACGTCATTCGTGGTGTTGGGGCTCGTGGTGCTCCTGGGGGTCGTGGGGGCCAAAGACATGATGAGGAACATCGTCTTCGACAAGAACACGCCAGATGTTTTCTACTGTCCCATTCACAAACCTACTGGATTTGACAAAATGATCGTCAAGTAAGTTTTTTTTAGGTAATTAACACGAATCACGTGGGCTGGAAAGTTGTTTTGTGTTTTTAAAACATGTTTTTTTTATTATTGTTAAAATGACACAAGATTTTTTTTTTGTCCTGATGCGAAATCTTTAAGAGCCAATGATTTTTTTTTTTTGTTTTGTCTGAGATCGTCCATTTGGCCTTGTAGAATCCCCCTTTCACCTCAGAGCTAATAAAATCACTGTTATATCTGGACAAAGATGGTAAAACTAGCCCCACCCACCTTCTTTCTCCGTTTATTTACTGTAAAATGGGTTTTGAATTTCATTTTGACAAGACATTTAAAACAAGGTCAAAAGCGCCCCCGCCCACCCACCCCTATTCCGTCTGGATCCCTGATTTTACTGGGTCTGAGACACAAGTTAGATTTTGTATTGACGAATATAATTTTTTAATTTTTTTTGAAAACGCGATCGCCGTCAGAGATTACACTTAAATAATAACAAATCACGTAAAATAAACACAATGAAGTACAACTATTGTAAACGCCGCCCTTCTTCTCCAGGCCAATGAAATGATTTATTAAGGTGGAGTTTGTGTGAGTGGGAGGAGCCTCAGCAATATTGCATTGTAAACATTATTCTCTTTGTAGTTACTTTGTTTAACAATTTATCTATTTTCTCACCAACGATTTAACAGATTTGTCTAAGATCGTAATAATATATAGTGTTGTCATTAATTAACAGTATTAAGAGTAGTCACTGGATTTGAAGAGGGGGCGGGTAGGCGGGGCTATTGATTTATTTTATTTAAAAATCTAAGAATTAAAATAAGATCAAAAGTGAACCCCGCCCACCCACCCGTATTCTATTTTGGTCAATCATTTTATTGGAGCTGCGAAAGTTGAATTTTATATTTAGAAATAATAAATAGAATCTAGGATTACATATTTTTTAAATAAAATTTTGCTTATGTAATATTGCTTGCTTATAAAAGTCTCTGTGAAAAAAAGTCAAAGTTAGCCCCGCCCACCCACCCGTTCTGCCATTTTTTGCCTAAGAAGAAATAAATTCGTTACAATGAGAACGACGCGAGTGGGCGGGACTAGTACTTGCTAAGATAAGACTAATTTTGGCAGATGATATAGCCCCTAAGAAAATAGAGGGTGGGTGGGCGGGGCTAATACTTGCTGACATAAAACTGAACAATATTATGGGTAGTTACTAGAATGAAGAGGGGGGATTCATTTCACTTACTTATTTTATTTATTGTAAAATAGGAATTGAATTTTATTTTGACAAGTGGTGGAATCTAAGATTTCAAACAAAGTCAAAAGTGGCCCCGCCCACCCACCCCTATTCCGTTTTGATCACTTATTTTATTGGCTCTGAGACATGTTGAATTTTGTATTGACAAATAATAGTTAGAATCTAAGATTACATTTTTTTTCGGAATAAAATTTAGTTTACAATATTATGTACGCTTGGTTATAAAAGATTCTGTAGAAGAAATTCAAAATTAGCCCCGCCCACCCACCCTTTCTCTCATTTTTTTGTCTTCTGAAATGGGAACCAAGTCTTATAGCATACAGTTTAACAAAAAAATACGATTAGCGCTTTTTTTGTTTTTTTTTAACAGCCTAAATTTTATTAGATCTCATTCCCACTCTACCGAATATAATTAGCCCCGCCCACTCACCACGCCCCCATTTCCATGATTCGTTATACTGAGCCGAAATAAAATCGTTTTAGAATGAAAACAGCGCGAGTGGGCGGGATTAGTACCCTGCTAAGATGAGACTGATTTTGGCAGATGATACAGCCTCTAAGAAAATGGAGGGTGGGTGGGCGGGGCGAACACTTTCTTAGATAAAACTGAACAATATTATGGGTAGTTAGTTACTCGAATGAAGAGGGAGTGGATGGGCGGACCTACGGCTTGCTTATAGGACTCTGTAGAGTAAAGCTAAACTCAACCCCGCCCACCGGCTTTTTTCCATTTCACCAACTTCTTTTCTTTACTTTAAAATGGAAATTGAATTATATTTTGATAAGCAATAGACTAAGATTTAAAACGAAGTTAGAAGTGTCCCCGCCCACCCACCACTATTCCTTTTGGTCACTCATATTATTGGCCCTGTGAATGTTTAATTTTATGTTTACAAATAATCAAATCTAGGACTACATAATTTTTTAATAAAATTTTCAAAAGTCAAAATTTGCGCCGCCCACCCACCCGTTTTCTCATTTTTTGCCTTCTGAAATAAGAAGAAATAAATTCGTTACAATGAGAACGACGCGAGTGGGCGGGACTAGTACTTGCTAAGATAAGACTAATTTTGGCAGATGATATAGTCCCTAAGAAAATAGAGGATGGGTGGGTGGGGCTAATACTTGCTGACATAAAACTGAACAATATTATGGGTAGTTACTAGAATGAAGAGGGGGGATTCATTTCACTTACTTATTTTATTTATTGTAAAATAGGAATTGAATTTTATTTTGACAAGTGGTGGAATCTAAGATTTCAAACAAAGTCAAAAGTGGCCCCGCCCACCCACCCCTATTCTGTTTTGATCACTTATTTTATTGGCTTTGAGACAGATGTTGAATTTTGTATTGACAAATAATAGTTGGAATCTAAGATTACATTTTTTTGGAATAAAATTTAGTTTACAATATTATGTACGCTTGGTTATAAAAGATTTTGTAGAAAAAAGTCAAAATTAGCCCCGCCCACCCACCCTTTCTCTCATTTTTTTGTCTTCTGAAATAGGAACTAAATCTTATAGCATTTAGTATAACAAAAAAATACGATTAGCGCTTTTTTCTGTTTTTTTTTAACAGCCTAGATTTTATTAGTTCCCATTCGCACTCTACCGAATAATTAGCCCCGCCCACCCACTATGCCCCCATTTCCATGATTTGTTATATTTGGTGCGAATCAAAGGTGGATCTTATACTGAGCCGAAATAAAATCGTTTAAGAATGAAAACTAAGCTAAGATAAGACTAATTTTGGCAGATGATACAGCCCCTAAGAAAATAGAGGGTGGGTGGGCGGGGCTAATACTTGCTGAAATAAGACTGAACAATATATGGGTAGTTACTAGAATGAAGAGGGGGTGGGTGGCGAGACAAACTAAATTCAACCCCGCCCACCGCCTTTTTTCATTTCACCAACTTCTTTAATTTACTGGAAAAGGGCACTTGAATTCTATTTTAATAAGCGGCAGAATATAAGATTTTAAAATAAGGTCAAAAGTGGCCCCGCCCACCCCTATTTCATTTTGATCACTCGTTTTATTGGCTCTGAGACAGAAGTGCGATTTTATATTGATAAATAATAGAATCTAGAATGCCATTTTTTTTGTTAATAAAAATTTATTTTTTTCTATTTTTTAACAACGACCTTGCCGAAAATAGACCCAATGAGGTACAATTATAAACTCCGCCCCCTTCTTTTCCAAGCCAATGAAATTATTCATTAAGGCGGAGCTTTTGCAAGTGGGAGGAGAATCGCTAATTTTGCTTTTTAAATATGATTGTCACGTTTGGTATGCTTATTTAACACCAGATTAATACTTTGTAGATGCTTCATTTAACAATTTATCTCTTTTCTCACCAACAAGTTAACGGATTTTCCTAAAATTGTAATAAAATAATAAATGGTAATCAATGAACAATATTAAGAGTAGTCATCAGAATGGAGAGGGGGTGGGTGGGTGGGTCGACTGCTTGCCTATAAAAGACTCTAGGAAAAAGTTAAACTTAGCCCCGCCCACCCACCCGTTCTCCCTTTTTTTTTTCTTCTGAAATAAGAAATAAATCTCATAACAAAAAAGCTACGATTAGCGATCAGAAAAATATAATTAGCCCTCCATTTTTAAAGATCGCGCATCTGAATTTTTAAACGCGACAATTTTTTCTGTGAAAAACAAATATTAGCAAACCTGTTACGTAAAACACAACCACATTAAAATAATTTATGTCTTTTTTAGAGCCAGACCTTTGAAGAAATTATGCGAATTTGAAGGCGAACCTCTCCCCGACGACTACAAGAGCGACTGCTACCAAGACATAGACGAAACGAGTTATGCATGCAAAGAGAAATACAGGATTATGGTAAATTGAGTGTTGGTGAATTAATGGCTTCAATGAGGAACATGATAACAAAGACACAAAATTATACGTACTGTTTTGTAAAAAATGCCGGACGTATAACGTGTTTTCGGTTCAAAGTCTTGAAAGAGACCCGTTTGCCACACGTGTTGCATTTTTCATCTAGTTTAGAATTGTTGTTTTACGTTTTACGAATAACGATTAATTAATGAATTGGAATTAACTCGAGTGGAGGAGTAGTTTCCACAATTAGCACTGTTTATGTCACTGAGGAGATAGTGAAAGTTGGTGCATGTAAACAAGTGTTAGGGGTCATCGCTGTGATAAAAACGAAATTTAAATAGAGATGATTTTTATATGATAATTTTTTGTGTGGAAACTGCTTCGTTCTCACTTTTATAACACAATACGTCAGTAGTTTTTAATAGGCGGTGATGGTAGGGTTAGAATTAGTGTTAGTTAATTTCGTAACTAAATTGTGTAGCTAAAACTTCACTCCTCACTTAGTATATAGTGGTATTGTTAGAACTACATCATTTTTTTAATCACTCTAATTTTGGAAACACGTGTGGCATATTCAAAAAACACACATATGTGCAGGCATTTTTTATAACATACAGAGTGTCCACTGCTTGCGCAACGGGAAACTCCACTCTTTTTAAACATGTAAACAGTTACATGTTTAAAAAACTTTCCCGTTGTGCTGAGCCCGACCACCCTGTATATTAAAATCGATTTTTTTCAGAAACGACTGAAAAAGGCTTCATTTGAGGAATAACGACAAGCTCTTAATCCAATAACAGCTTTAATCATTAACCCCCACCCCTTGCTTATCATTTAATCCCTTCGGTATTGTAAGTCCCGACATAGATTTATTAGACATAGTTGAGGTATAGGGTAAACCCGGTTTTGTAAATTTAATAAACAAATTTAATAATTTAATAAAACGTGCAACGAAGACGAGAAGATACGTAACCACACAATAACGAGGAAGGGCGCTTCTTGGTGTGCGCTTTTTGTGGCGGTAATCGGGGCTCTAGAACGTGACGAAGCTCTGACTTTGCTTTCCACAGATGCGGATGCATCCACCAGGTGGTGAAGACGCTTTCGAGGGAGACAGGTTGGCCAGGTTTATTGATGTTGACAGAGAGTTTTATGTGATGAAGGTGGACGATAAGAAGAAGGTTCACTTGAAAAATAGGTTAGGTTAGGGCGAGCCGGGCCTCCACTAAATCCATTAACGCGTCTAATTGTTATAGTTTTGTACATACTAAATTTGTTAATATGTTATTAATAAAATAGTTTATCGGAAATGTGTGTGTTGAATTTCAACGTGCCAAGAATACTCGATTCTGGTTGGTCACAGTTTTCCATTCGACGTTTTTTGACAGCAGTGTGGTTTAATCACCGACATACACTACCTTCCTAAGGATAACTCGATTAGAAACTATGTTGGTAATCAGATATAACAAAAATTGTTTGTTCGTATTCCGTCAACCGACATCGATTAAATTTTGGCTTATTCTAGAGCAAAATCAACAAGTTGTTTTCTTGATTTTCTGTGATATTATTTCATTTATAACCTAAAAATTTTCGTCATTTAATGTGATCTTGTCTTTAATGCGTGTATGATCCAGACACACAACAAAGAAATCTACAAATCTTGGTTGGATTTTTCATTCATTTTCAAAATCTGAAAATACGGAGCATCTGCAGATTTTCCAAGCAAGACTTGATTACAAATCTTTTGGCCGATTTCACTTTTTTTTTAAGTGTTTTATTTATAAACTAAAATTTTTCGTTATTCAATGTTTGAAGTTACCTTTGATATGTGTATGTTGGGTTGCATAATCCCGTCTTTTAAAATATGAACCATAACTAAATGTAATGGTGTTCAGTTGAAAAATCACTTATTAAACAAGGCTTTGGAATTTCATTTGACACGAACGGCATGTCTGTTCTTATAACATCCATTTGGCAGAAACATAACCTGTTACATGCTATATGTTACAAGAACAGACATGCCGTTTGTGTCAAATGATTTTCCAGTGTCTACTCTGGGTGATTTTTCAATTTAACGAACTTTTTTTAACAGCCTAGGTTTTATTAGTTCGCATTCCCATTCTATAGAAGAATATATGATTAACTCCGCCCACCCACCCGCCTCCATTTCAGTGATTTATTTTATTTGGTCTGAATGAAACGTGGATCTTATACTGAACAGAAATAATATCGTTATAATGAGAACAACTCGGGTTAAGTCTGATTTTGGCAAATGGCATATCCTCTAAGAAAATAGAGGGCGGGTGGGCGGGCCCAATTCTTGCTAAGATAAGATTGATATTGGCACATCACATATTCTCTAAGAAATTCAAGGGTGGGTGGGAGGGGCTTAATTTTCGTTAAGATAAAACTGACCAATATTCGGAGTAGTTGCTAGAATGAAGAGGGGATGGATGGGCGGGGCTACTTCTTACTTATAAGATTTTCCAATTTTCAATATTTAGATTTTACAATAATTTTCGTGTTTTCGACCGCAATTTTTCGATCTTTAAGTTTCTCAATTTTTAATCTTTCGATTTTTGAATTTTCCGTTTCTTCAATTTCTCAAGTTTTTAGATTTCTCGAAGCTTTCATTTTATACTTTTGCGTTTTTTCATTTTGAGTTTTCTATTTTACAATTTTTCTATTTTATAACTTTTCCATTTTGTTTATTCGGAAAGTAGAAAATTCGAAAAATTGAAAAATCGGAAAATTAAAAAATTGGAAAAAATTGAAAAAACAAAAAATTGCAAAATCGATAAAACGGAAAATCGAATCGAATTTGTTTTTACGATTTTTTAACTTCGATTTTTTAAATTTTTTAATCTGTATTTCAATTTTTCGATTTTTGGAATTTTCTGTTTCTCATATCTAGGTTTATCGATTTTTTTGAGTTTTTCGATTTTTCCGTTTATCTTTTTTTAAGTAAATATTTCAATTTAGAATTTTCCGATTTCGGCCTATTTCGATTTCTCGATCTTTTGAAGTCTCAAGTTTTCGATTTCAATTTCTTGGTTTTTCGATTTTCAAAATTTTCGATTTTTCTAGTATATATTTTAAATTTTCGACTTTTAAAATTTTTCATTTTTCCCTTTTATAATTTTTATGTTTCGATTTCCCGATTTTAATTTTTTAATGTGTTTCAATTTTTCCATTTTTGGAATTTTCGATTTCTCATATCTCAATTTTCCAATTTAAAAAATTTTTCGATTTCTCGATTTTTAAGTTTTCGCTATCTCAATTTTAAACATCGCAATTTTGGGAATTTTTCATTTTTCCATTACCTTTTTTAAATTAAAAAAACGGAAAATTGAAAGCCAAAAATTGAAAAAATAAAGAAAATTAAAAACCCACACGAAAAATTGCAAATCGAAAAATTGACGAAATTAAAAACTGAAAACTCGTGAAATTTGCAACTCTAAAATTTGAAACATCTAAAATTTGGAAAATCAAAAACTGAAAAATCGAGAAATCGAAAATTTTCAAAACTGAAAAGTCGAAAGATTGAAAAATCGAAATTTGGAAAATCGAAAAATCGAGGAATTCAAACTGAAAAAAGATCGAGAATTCAAGATGTCGAAAAATCTAAATATATAAAATTTAAAAAATAGAAAAATTACAATAACGAAAAATTTAACATTAAAAAAAAACACAAAATTAAAAAGTCGAAAAATCGAGAAATCGAGAAATGGAAAAATGAAAATTTAGAAAAACCAAAGATTGAAAAGCATAAAAAAATTAAAATCGAGAAATCCGAACGTAAAAAAAAAATAAAATCGAAAAATTGAAAAATTTTAAATTTAAAAATTCGAAAACTTGAAAAACCGAAAAACTGAAGAAATGAAAAACTAAAAAATCGACAAATTGAAAAATCTCAAAACTGAAAAGTCGAAAAATTGAAAAACCCAAAAAACGATTTCCGGTAAGTCGAAAAATTAAAATTTAAAAAGTTGAAAAATGAAAATATCAAAAAACTGAAAAATGTAAGACATTCTCAAAATTGAAATGTTGAAAAATTGAGAAATCGAAAACTTGATAAATCCAGAAATCGAAAAAAAGGACGAAAAGTAAAAACATTTTAAAATCGAAAAAACGAATAATCGAGATGTAAGAAACTGAAAATTTCAAAATCGAAAAATTGGAATACACGTTAAAAAGGTTAAAATCGGGAGATCGAAGCATAACAAAACATAAATCCAAAAATGGAGAATTTTAAAAATCTAAAAACTTGAAGCAATAAAAAATTGAAAAATGGAAAAGCAGAGAAATCGAAATTAAAAAATTGAGACATCAAAAGATCCGAGAAATGGAGAAATCGAAATAGCCCGAAATCGAAAAACCGGAAAATTTAAACCTGAAATACATATTTAAACTTAAAAAAAAAAACGATAAATCAAAATATTCAAAATTGAAAAAATCAGAAATTTTAAAAATCGAAACATCGAGAAATCGAAATATCAAAAAAGTGAAAAATTTTAAATTAAAAAATTGGAGACATTGAAAAATCCCAATATTGGAACAACGAAAACTTCAAAAATCGGTAAATTGGAAAGAGGAAAAATCGAAAAATCAAAGAATTGATTAATAGAGAAATTGAGAAATGTTACAATGAAAATTTAAAAAAGGCAAAAATTGAAAAATTGTAAAACTAAAATATCGAAAAATTACGTAAACTAAAAATCGAGAAATCAAATTGTAATTCAATTTTGTTTTATTTTTCCACAAAAATTTCGATGTCGAAGATAAAAATTCAACACGGATTCATAAACCATAGATACACTGTTATTTTTTTTTTAATTTATATAACATTTATTTGACAAAACTGTAGAACTGAAGAAACGAAAAATAGAAACATTGAAAAACTAAAATTCGAGAAAAAATTAAAAAATCAAAGAACGAATTAAATCGAAAAATGTAAAGTCCAAAAACTAACATTCAAAGATCGAAAAATTAAAAAATTCCAAAAACGAAAAATTGAAAAAGTGAACAACTCTAATAAAAATTATAATTATTATTACATATCTAAAATGAAAACTAGAAATCCTGCAAATCAAAAATTGAAGAAACGAAAAATTGAAAACAAAAAAAATTGAAAAATCCAAAAACTGGAATAAATAAGGGGTGGGTGGGCGTCAGCCCTGCCCACTTTCTTTCTCTATTTCACTGACTTATGTAAATAGTAATGATCATATAAAATAGACACAGTGAGATACAATTATAAACGCCGCTCCGCTTCTCCGAGCCAATGAAAGGATTTATTAAAGTGGAGTTTTTGAGAGTAAAAGGGGAATTTCCTTTTTCACACTGATTTTATTAAAAGTGTCCGCCATTTTTCCTTTTCCACTTGTCATTTTTTGACATTTATCATTTATTTGTGGTTTAATCACAGACATGCAAAATGTTTTCCAGGGATGACTGGATTGCAAATAATGTTGCTCGCCAGCTCGCCCACTATTTCCAATATCTTTGGTTTGGGAGTGTTAGTTTTAATGTTTAGTACACGAAAAAGTGTGGTTAGGTTACATCATTCCGGTTCTACGTTGACAGCTGTCATTGATTAAATTTTGGGGTTAAATATCTGAAAGCACAAAAAAACTAATATCTAGTTGATGGCTGTCTCAATTTCACGAACACGGATAGATTTATTTTAATGAAAGTGTTACTCACTGAAATGTTCATTTGTGTCCCGGAAAACGTCAACATGAAGGCCACAAAGAATTTCCAAGGGGCTAAGGAATTATCTAGTCTATGGTCCATTGTGCGTTAAAACAATCGCCGCTTTCAACGAAAAGACTGTAAGAGGTTATGGCATCCTACTGTTCCCGCGACACAGGCGTACCAACATAGACAAAGCAAGAGAGGGGGATTTTGTGGAGAGGGATGTCTATGGGTACCAACCTAAGCATAAAATTCAAGTGCCACAGATGAGCGTGGATGTTCCAAAATAAACCCAGTCTCTACCAAATGCAATTTAAACTGTTTTGTTTTTTAGATAACAAATTTTGATTTTTTTCCATTAATTGCTTCTTCTGAATTGATAATTCTGAATGGAGCTTTATCTTTAATATTTTTGAACTTCAAAATATTCAGTTACAGCGTTCTCTTTTAACTTAAAATATAATTTTAAAAATACATAAGAAAGGACTTTACACAAGTAAGTAAAAGCATCAGTCCCTTAATAAAAATATTTTATAAAAATTCCATATATATTTTATAAACACACAGACAGACATACACGTGAACATGTTACAATAATGAAAGAATGCCACGAAATAAATAAAAACTAAAAACCACATACAAAACCCATAAAAATTTGGCTTAAACTGACTCGATCACCTAAAATGGCAAAAACTTAACCGATTTTGGGAAAAACTAGGAACGAAATTTCCAATCAAGTCCGATATGTAAACCGACACACAAAAACCGTACAACAAATTCTCCACAAGTCAGTCAGTGCGACAGCTTGATCTCCACGTTGTCTCCGTTGGAGCTGACCACCGTGTTCTTGCGGTCCAGCGAGTCCTCCTTCCTCCGGTGGCTCCGCCTGTTCTTCGAGTGCTCGTTGCTCAAGCTCGTGCTCTGCGTCTTGTTGCCGAGACTCGACGACCGCGACGTCAGGCTGCTCTGGCTCTCGTGCAGGCGCTTGCGCTCCCACGTCGCCGCCCCCTCGTCGGCCGCCGCCGCCGCCGAGTCCGAGTGGCTGGACTTGGAGCCGTGGGCGGGCCGGTGGCCGTCCACCTTGAAGTAGGCACCGTTGGAGGTCCCGTTCTGCTTCCAGACGCGCAGGCGGTGGCTGATCTCGGCGAAGCTGGGGCGCCGGATGGACAGCTCGGCCCAGCACTCCACCATGAGGGCGTAGCAGTAGCCGGGGCAGGCGTCGGGGCACGGCAGAAGCTTGCGGGACCGGATCATGTTGATCACCTCCTGGTTGTTGTAGCCGTAGTAGGGCTGGAGGCCGTAGCTGTAGATCTCCCAGAGGACGACGCCGTACGACCAGACGTCGCTCTCGGTGGTGAACTTGCCGTAGAGGATGGACTCGGGGGGCATCCAGCGCACGGGGAGGAGGGATTTTGATTGGACTCTGGAATACAGAGGTGGTTTTAGATTTTAGTTTCGTTGTAGTGGCAGTATTTATTAGTGTAGTAAATAAAAAAATTGAAGAATTGAAACATTGAAAAGTCGAGAAATCAGAAAATAACAGCATCAGCTAATCGAGAAATTGAGAAAAATTGAAAATAGAATAATCGAAAACTGAAAATTCAAAAACACAGAAGGTCGAGAAAACATGAAATTGGAAAATCAAAACAGCGATAAATCGAGAAATTGGGAAATCAAAAATTCAAAATTCGAAAAGACAAACATGAAAAATCGAGAAACTTAAAAATATAAAAGTCGAAAAATTGAAAATGAAAAAAATCGAAGACATGAAAAATTCCAGAAATCGAGAAATCGAAAAACCTAAAATTTAAAAATAAAAATGCCGAAACATTGAAAAATTAAAAAATCTAAAAATTGTAAAAAAAAAATCAAAAAATCTAAAAATCAAAATATCAAGAAAATCGAGAAATCTAAAAATCTAAAAATCAAAATATCAAGAAATCGTAAAATCGAGAAATGTAGAATTAAAAAAAATAGCAGAATTGAAAAACAAAAATATTGAAGAATTGAAAAATCAAAAAATCCAGAAATCGAGAATTTGAAAAACCTAAAATTTAAAAATTGAAAAATCGAAAATCTGAAATAAAAAAAAAATCGAAAAATTGCAAAATGGGAGAACATCAACGAAAAATTTTACTATTGAATTTAGAAATATTGGTGCCTTTGATTTTTAGAAAAAATCAGTCTCTCCATTTATGAAAAAATATACCTAGTGTTCCATTAAAAAAAAAGTTGATGTCATTTCCGGTTCTATCTTTTGCAATGATGCATTTGCTCAAAGAACTACAGGTTTATCTTTAAGAATAAAAAAGTTACAGGGGTTGTATCAAATAAAAGAAACACCCTGTAGAGAGAATTTTGTCAATGAGATGTCAATAAATCGTAAAATCGAGAAACAGAAATATAGAACAACTGAAAAATAAAAAAATTCAAAAATCGAGAAATCGAAAAACTTAAAATTTAAAAAGTAGAAAAATTAAACAATCGAAAAATTGAAAAATCTAAAATTTAACAATAGAAAAGTCGAAAAATCGAAAACTGAAATCCAAAATTTTAAAAATCAAAAAAATTAAAAATCGGAAAATTGAATCGAAGAATTGAAAAAATGAAAAGCCGAAAAATCGAAGCAAAGAAAAAAACGAAAGAAATTGAATAATAAAAAAATAGTAAAATCGAGAAACGTAGAATTAAAAAAATATATGTATATAGAAAAATTGAAAAACAGGAATATCGAAAGTAGAAAAATCAAAACAGCGATAAATCGAGAAATTGGGAAATCAAAAATTCAAAATTCGAAAAGACAAACATGAAAAATCGAGAAACTTAAAAATATAAAAGTCGAAAAATTGAAAATGAAAAAAATCGAAGACATGAAAAATTCCAGAAATCGAGAAATCGAAAAACCTAAAATTTAAAAATAAAAATGCCGAAACATTGAAAAATTAAAAAATCTAAAAATTGTAAAAAAAAAATCAAAAAATCTAAAAATCAAAATATCAAGAAATCGTAAAATCGAGAAATGTAGCATTAAAAAAAATAGCAGAATTGAAAAACAAAAATATTGAAGAATTGAAAAATCAAAAAATTCAGAAATCGAGAATTTGAAAAACCTAAAATTTAAAAATTGAAAAATCGAAAATCTAAAATAAAAAAAAAAATCGAAAAATTGCAAAATGGGAGAACATCAACGAAAAATTTAGAAATCGAAGTAAAAAGTTGAAGAATTGAGAACAATTGAGAAAAATCAAAAACCTGAAAAATTGAAGAATCGAAACACTGAAAAATCGAAACATTGAAAATTCAAGAAAACAAGAAATTGGGCAATGAAAACATCTATAAACAGAGAAACTGAGAAATCAAAAAGTTTTAAAACTCGAAAAATTAAAAATTGAAAAATTAAAAAGTCTAACATTTAACAATTGAAAAGTCGAAAAATAGAAAACTGAAAAATGCCAAAATTGATTAATCGAAAAATTGGAAAATCTAAAATTTAAGAATTGAAAAATTGAAAAATCGAAAAACTGAAAATTCAAAATAAAAAAAATCGAAAAATTGAATAAAAAAAATCGAAAAATTGAAAAATGGTAAAATAAAAAAATCGAAAAACTGAAAAAAACGAGATATTGAAAAATTCCAAACCTCAAATGGTGAAAAATTGAAAAATCGAATCATCAAAAAATTGCAAAATCGGGAAGTCGAAAAATCAAAGAATCTAAAAATTCAAAAACTGAAAAACATCGAAAAATTCGAAATATCAAAAAATATCAAAAACCTGAAAAATGGAAAAACCGAAACTTTGACAAATCGAAAAAAAAAATTGAATCTCTAAAAATTGAAGAATCAAAAATTATTCCAAATTCGAAAAGACGAAAAATCGAGAAACCTAAAAATGGCAAAAATTAAAAAATTGAAAAATCGAAAATTCCAGAAATCCAGAAATCGAAAAACCTAAAATTTAAAAAATTGCAAAATAAAAATGTCGCAAAATTGAAAAATTCAAAAATCTAAAATTTAACAATGAAAAAATCGAAAAATAGAAAACTGCAAAATCGGGAACCGAAAATCCAAAATTTAAAAAATAAAAAAATTAACTAAATCAGAAAATTGAATCGAAAAACTGAAAAAATGAGAAATTGAAAAATCGAAACATCAAAAAATCGAAAAATCGGGAAATGGAGAATTAAAAAAAATCGTAAAAATGCAAAATGAGGATATTGAAAAACTGGGAAATCTAAAAATTGAAAAATCGAATCGAAAAATTCAAAAAGTGCAAAAAAATTGAGAAATCGAAACATCAACGAAAGATTTAAAAATCGAAAAAGTAAAAAATTGAAGAATCGGGAAATTGAAAGGCGAAGAATCGGAAAGTTGAAAAATCAAAAACCCGAAAAATTGAAAAATCCACAAATTGAAAAATTCCCAAAATTGAAACGTCGAAAAATGTAAAATGGAAAAAATCAAAAAATTGAAAAATCAAATATTTAGGACTTTGAAAAATTGAAAAAAAATCGTACATTTGAAAAATCGAAAATTCTAGATATCCAGAAATCGAAAAACCTAAAATTTAAAAAAATGCAAAATAAAAATGTCGCAAAATTGAAAAATTCAAAAATCTAATATTTAACCATTAAAAAATCGAAAAATAGAAAAGTGGAAAATCGTAAAATTGCAAAATGAGGATATTGAAGAATTGAAAAATTGGAAAAAAAAACTAGAAACTGAAAAATTCCAAACCTGAAATTGCGAAAAATTGGGAAATCGAAAACTGAAAATTCAAAATTTGAAAAACTAAAAAATTGAGAAATCGAAAAATTGGGAAATCAAAAAGCTTTAAAACTCGAAAAATCGAGACGTTAAAAAATTAAATATCAAAATATCGTAAAACCGAAATATTGAAAATGAAAAAAATCGAAGATATGAAAAATTCCAGAAATGGAGAAATCGAAAAACCTAAAATTTAAAAGATTTAAAAATAAAAATGCCGAAAAATTGAAAAATTAAAAAAATAAAAATAATCTAAAAATCAAAATATCAAGAATTTGTAAAATCGAGACATGTAGAATTAAAAAAAATAACAGAATTGAAAAACAAAAATATTGAAGAATTGAAAAATCAAAAAATCCAGAAATCGAGAATTTGAAAAACCTAAAATTTAAAAATTTAAAAATTGAAAAATCGAAAATCTAAAATAAAAAAAAACGAAAAATTGCAAAATGGGACAAGTGGAGAATCGAAAAACTGAAAACAAACGAGAAATTAAAAAATTCCGAACCTGAAATTGCCAACAATTGGGAAATCCAAAAATTGAAAAATCGACGAATCGAAAAATTCAAAAACTGAAAAATATCGAGAAATCGAAACATCAACGAAAAATTTAGAAATCGAAAGAGTAAAAAATTGAAGAATCGAGAAATTGAAAAGGCGAAGAATCGGAAAGTTGAAAAATCAAAAACCTGAAAAATTGAAGAATTGAAAAACAGAAATATCGGAGCATTGGAGAGTCGAGACAACAAGAAATCGAAAAATCAAACACTTCAAAACTCGAAAAAAAAATTGAAAAATCGAAAAGTCAAGAATTTTAAAAATCGAAAAATTGAAAAATCCACAAATTAAAAAATTCCCAAAATTGAAATGTCGAAAAATTAAGAAATGGAAAACAAAAATCAAGAAACCTAAAAATCGAGAAGTCGAAAAATTTTAAAATCGAAAAATTTTAAATGAAAAAAATCAAAAAATTGAAAAATCAAATATTTAAGACTTTGAAAAATTAAAAAAAAATCGCAGATATGAAATATTGAAAATCCAGAAATTGATAAATCGAAAAACCTACAATTTAAAAAACTGAAAAATAAAAATGGCGAATAATTGAAAAATTAATTCTAAAATTTAACAATTGAAAAATTGAAAAATCGAAAAACCGAAAGTCCAAAATAAAAAAAAAACATAAAACTGCAAAATGAGGATTTTGAAGAATTGAAAAATTGTAAAAAAAAACTAGAAACTAAAAATTCCAAACCTGAAATTACGAAAAATTGGGAAATCTAAAAATTGAAAAATTGAAAAATTCCCAAAATTGAAATGTCGAAAAATTAAGAAATGGAGAACATAACAAATCGAGAAACCTAAAAATCCAAAAATTGAACTTTTTTTAAAATCGAAAAATTTTAAATGGAAAAAATAAAAAAACTGAAAAATCAAATATTAAAGATTTTGAAAAATTGAAAAAAAAAAGCGAAGATATGAAATATTGAAAAATCGAGAAACCGAAAAATCGAGAAAACCTGAAAAATAAAAATGGCGAATAATTGAAAAATTAATTCTAAAATTTAACAATTGAAAAATCGAAAACCGAAAATCCAAAATTTCAAAAATCGAAAAACTGAAAAAATGAGAAACTGAAAAATCAAAAAGCCCAAAAATCAATTATAGGAGATCAACAATGTGAATTTCCTTGTAATCCTTGAAATAAAGCTTACAACGTCGCATTCGTACTCGTTTTTTTTTACCAACGATTAAAGGGATAATCACCTGTAATAATCGCAACTGTACATGTCCCTGCTGAGCCCGAAGTCGCTAATCTTGACCACCAAATCCTTCGAAACCAAACAATTCCTAGCGGCTAGATCCCTGTGGACGTAATGGTTGTCGGATAAGTACTCCATTCCCTGAGCGATCTGGATCGCGATGTGCAAGAACTGGTTCTGCGTCAAACTTTTTCCTTCACTGGGTGAATTCGTGATGAGAAACTCGTGCAAATCCCCCTAAAACCAAACCAAACCATCACCACCAACACACAAAAAAAAAATCACCAACCTCTGACATAAACTCGAACAGCATACACATGGGCTCCTGCTTCACCACCACCCCCAGCAAGCAAATGATGTTCGGATGCTTCAGTTCCGAGATGAGCTCGATCTCCCTCTGGAAGTCGGCCTGCGTTTTGGCGCTCGCATTTTCCTTGAGCGACTTGACGGCGACGATGACTTTCCCGGATTTGGTCTTGAGCTCGCCTTTGTACACTTTCCCAAAGGCACCCTCGCCCAGCTCCTCCACGAAAGCCACCTCTTTGTACGTGTACTGGGGCACGTTTTGGTAGCCGTTTTTCGAGGCGTGGTGGCTTTTGTGGGGCGGGATGTTGGGGGGGAGGAGGTTGTTCATTTCCATGGGCGAGTTGGGGCCGGTGTTTCCGTAGATGTTCTTGTCGGCGGTGGGGACGTTCATCTAGAAGAGGCGGGGTTTTGGTGGGGTGGGTGTTTAGTGCGAAGGGGAGTGTCTTGACGTATTATGGCGTTTTTATGAGTGAGATTCTAAAATTTTCTTTTTTATTGTACAAAAAAAAAGTTGAAATTTTTAGTTTAATTTATGACAAACTGGCAATCTAAAACTTACAATTTGGTGATCAAGTTTCATTTTATGTAAATATAGAGAGAATTTTGTCAATGAGATGTCAATAAATCGTAATATCGAGAAAGAAATATAGAAGAACTGAAAAATCAAAAAATCCAGAAATCGAGAAATCGAAAAATTTAACATTTAAAAAGTAGAAAAATTGAAAAATAGAAATATCGAAGATATAAAACATCGAAAAGCCTAAAATTTAAAAAAGCGAATAGAAATGCCGCAAAATTAAAAAATCTAAAATTTAACAATAGAAAAGTCGAAAAATCGAAAACTGAAATCCAAAATTTTTAAATCAAAAACATGAAAAATCGGAAAATTGAATCGAAGAACTGAAAAACTGAGACACTGAAAAATCGAAAAGCCGAAAAATCGAAGCAAAGAAAAATTCAAAATTTGAAACATCGAGAAATCGAAACACCAAAAGATCGAGAAATCGATAAGTCGAGAAAAATCTAAAAATTAAAACTGGAAAAATCGAAAAATTTTAAAGCGAAAAAATAAAAAGAGAGAAATTGAATAACAAAAAAATCAAAAATTTAAAACTTCGAAAAATTGAAAAATAGAAATATCGAAGATATAAAAAATCGAAAAGGCTAAAATTTAAAAAAGTGAATAGAAATGCCGCAAAATTAAAAAATCTAAAATTTAACAATAGAAAAGTCGAAAAATCGAAAACTGAAATCCAAAATTTTAAAATCAAAAACATGAAAAATCGGAAAATTGAACTGAAGAACTGAAAAAATCAAACACTGAAAAATCGAAACAAAGAAAAATTCAAAATTTGAAACATCGAGAAATCAAAACACCAAAAGATCGAGAAATCGATAAGTCGAGAAAAATGTAAAAATTAAAACTCGAAAAATCGAAAAATTTTTAAGCGAAAAAATAAAAAGAGAGAAATTGAATAACAAAAAAATCAAAAATTTAAAACTTCGAAAAATTGAAAAATAGAAATATCGAAGATATAAAAAATCGAAAAGCCTAAAATTTAAAAAAGTGAATAGAAATGCCGCAAAATTAAAACATCTAAAATTTAACAATAGAAAAGTCGAAAAATCGAAAACTGAAATCCAAAATTTTAAAATAAAAAAAATGAAAAATCGGAAAATTGAATCGAAGAACTGAAGAAATGAGACACTGAAAAATCGAAAAGCCGAAAAATCGAAGCAAAGAAAAATTCAAAATTTGAAACATCGAGAAATCGAAACACCAAAAGATCGAGAAATCGATAAGTCGAGAAAAATGTAAACATTAAAACTTGAAAAATCGAAAAATTTTAAAGCGAAAAAATAAAAATAGAGAAATTGAATAACAAAAAAATCAAAAATTTAAAACTTCGAAAAATTGAAAAATAGAAATATCGAAGATATAAAAAATCGAAAAGCCTAAAATTTAAAAAAGCGAATAGAAATGCCGTAAAATTAAAAAATCTAAAATTTAACAATAGAAAAGTCGAAAAATCGAAAACTGAAATCCAAAATTTTTAAATCAAAAACATCAAAAAATCGGAAAATTGAATCGAAGAACTGAAGAAATGAGACACTGAAAAACCGAAAAGTCGAGAAATCAAAACACCAAAGGTAGAGAAATCGATAAGTCGAGAAAAATCTAAAAATTAAAACTCGAAAAATCGAAAAATTTTTAAGCGAAAAAATAAAAAGAGAGAAATTGAATAACAAAAAAATCAAAAATTTAAAATTTCGAAAAATTGAAAAATATAAATATCGAAGATACAAAAAATCGAAAAGCCTAAAATTAAAAAAAATTAATAGAAATGCCGCAAAATTAAAACATCTAAAATTTAACAATAGAAAAGTCGAAAAATCGAAAACTGAAATCCAAAATTTTAAAATAAAAAAAAATGAAAAATCGGAAAATTGAATCGAAGAACTGAAAAACTGAGACGCTGAAAAATCAAAAAGCCGAAAAATCGAACCAAAGAAAAATTCGAAAATTGAACCATCGAGAAATCAAAAACCAAAAGATCGAGAAGTCGAAAAGTCCAAAAATTGAGAAATCGAGATGGACCAAAATCTAAAAATTAAAAACGGAACAATTTTAAATAAAAAATATAAATAAAACGAAAGAAATTGAATAATAAAAAAATCGTAAAATCGAGAAACGTAGAATTAAAAACATATATATAGAAAAATTGAAAAACAGAAAAAATTGAACCGAAAATTTAAAAGTAGAAAAACTAAAATATCGTCTAAAAATTGAAAAATCTAAAATTTAACAATTGAAAAATTGAAAAGTAGGAAAATTGAAAAATTGAGAAGAAAAAGAGATTTTGAAAAATTCCAAACTTGAAATTGCGAAAAATCGGAGAATCGAAAAATTCAAAAACTATAAAACAGGAAAATCTTAACATCAACGAAAAATTTAGAAATAGAAGAAGAAAAATTGAAGACTCGAAAATTTAAAAATTGAAAAAAACAAAAAATCAAGAATTTTAAAAATCGAAAAATCCATAAATTGAAAAATTCACAAAATTGAAACATTGAAAAATTGAGAAAACCGAAAACATGACAAATCGAGATACCTAAAAATCGAAAAGTTGAAAAATCCAGACATCAAAAAATTAAAATATCGTAAAATCGAAAAACCTAAAATTTAGAAAAGCGGAAAATAAAAATGTCGAAATATTAAAAAATTTAACATTTAACAATTGAAAAATCGAAAATTTTTAAAATCAAAAAATTGAATTCAAGAACTGAAAAAATGAGAAATTGAAAAATCGAAACAACGAAAAATTCAAAAATTGAAGAATCGAAATATTGAAAAATCCCGAAATTGAAATATCGAAAACTTGAAAAATGGAAGAAAAGTTAAAAAATCGAAAAATTGAGAAATCGAGAAATAATCTAAAAATCGAAATATTAAGAAATCGTAAAATCGAGGAATTAAAAAAAAAATACTAGAAGAATTGAAAAATTGAAATATGCAAGAACTGAAAAATCAAAAAATCCAGAAATCGAGAAATCTAAAACCTGAAATTGAAATGGTAGAAAAATTTAAAAAACTTAAATAACAACTGAAAAACCAAAAATCCAAAACAAAAAAATTGAAAAATTGCAAAATGGGAAATTGAAAAATCGAAGTGAAAAAAAAAACGTGAAATTGAAAAATTCCAAACCTGAAATAGCGAAAAATTGGGAAATAACAAGAATTGAAAAATCGTATCATAAAAAAATTGGAAAATCGAAATTTCGAAAAATTAAAGAATCGAAAAATTTTCAAAGTGAAAATCATCGAGAAATCGAAACATCGGCGAAAAATTTAGAATTCGAAGAAAAAAAATTGAAGAATCGAAATATTGAAAAATTCCAAAACTGAGAAACCGAAAGATCGGGAAGTCGAAAAATCTAAAAATTGAGAAATCGAGATGGACCAAAATCGAAAAATCAAAAAATTAAAAATAGAAAAACTGAAAAATTTTAAATAAAAAAAGGGAAATTGAATAACAACAAAATCGAAACGTCGGAATATTGAAAAATTCCGAAACTGAAATATCGAAAACTTGAAAAATGGAAGAAAAGTTTAAGAATCGAAAAATTGAAAAATGCCAAAATTGAAACATCGAAAAATTGAGAAATGAAAAATCTAAAAATCGAAAAGTCGAAAAATTTTAAAAATCGAAAAAACCACATGTCAAAAATCAAAAAATTGAGAAATAAAAATTTTTAAAAACTTCGAAAAATTTAAAAAAAAATGGAAGTTTATTTTTCAAATTTCTTGATTTTTACAATTTGTCGATTTTTTAGTTTTGGAATTTTCAATAGAAAATTGGAGCATTCTAAAATCAAGAATTTTAAAATTCGAACAAATGAAACATCGAAAAATTTGAAAAACTGAGAAATCGAAACAGGAAATGTAAAATTAAAAAAATATATATAGAAGAATCGAAAAACAGGAATATAGAAGAACTGAAAAATCAAAAAATTCAGAAATCGAGAAATCGAAAAACATAAAATTTAAAAAGTAGAACAATTAAAATATAGAAAAATTGGCAAATCTAAAATTTAAGAAATGAAAAACTGAAAAACTGAAAAGTCGAAAAACCGAAAATCCAAAATAAAAAAAATTGAAACATCGAAAAATAAAAAAAAGTTGAAGAATCGAGAAATCGAAGTCTAAAATTCAAAACGTTGAAAGATCAAAAGCTGAAAGTTGAATAATTGAAAAACTGAAAAATCAAAACATCGATAAATCGCCAAATTGAGAAATCAAAAAACTTTAAAGCTCGCAAAATTAAAAAATCAAAAAGTCAAGAATTTAAAAATCGAAACAGCGGAATCTCGATAAATCGAGAAATCGAAAGATGCTCGAAAAAAGTAAAAAATCAAGAAATTGAAAAATAAAAAATTGAAGAATCGAAATATCGGAGAAATGAAAACTAAAAAAATGCCGGAAATCGAAAAATTGGACCGAAAATTTAAAAGTCGAAAAATTAAAATATCAAAAATTCGAAATTCGAAAAGGAGCAAAATTGAAAAATTCTCAAAATTGAAACATTGAAAAATTGAGAAAACCGAAAACATGAAAAATCGAAGTCGAAAAACCGAGACATCAAAAAATTAAGATACAAACAAAATGTCGTGAAATCGAAGAATTTAAAATGAAAAAAAAAATTAAAAATCAAAAAAGTTCAAAATTTAAACTTCGAAAAATTAAAAAATTGAAATATCGAGGATATGAAAAATCGAAAACTCCAGAAATGGGGAAATCGAAAAACCGAAAGTTTAAAAAAGCGAAAAATAAACACGTCGAAATGTTAAAAAATCTAAAATTTCATTAACAATTGAAAAATCGATAAACCGAAAAAAAAAAATCGAAAATTGAAACATTGAGAAATCGAAACACCAAAAGAGAGAAAGTGAAGAATAAAAAAATCGAAAAAGCGGAATCTCGATAAATCGAAAGATGCTCTAAAAAAGTAAAAAATCAAGAAATCGAAAAATAAAAAATTGAAGAATCGAAATATTGAAAAATTCCGAAATTGGAGAAATCAAAACACCAAAAGATCGAGAAATCGAAACATCGAGAAGTCGAAAAATCTAAAAATTAGAAATCGAAATGGACCAAAATCTAAAAATTAAAAATTAAAAACGAAAAAATTTCAAATAAAAAAAAATTAATAAAAGGAAAGACATTGAATAACAAAAAAAATCGTAAAATCGAGAATCCTGGAACTAAAATAAAAAAATTTATATAGAAAAATTGAAAAACAGAAATATCGGAGAAATGAAAACTAAAAGAATGCCGGAAATCGAAAAATCGGACCGAAAATTTAAAAGTCGAAAAATTAAAATATCAAAAAATTCGAAATTCGAAAAAGAACAAAATTGAAAAATTCTCAAAATTGAAACATTCAAAAATTGAGAAAACCGAAAACATGAAAAATCGAAGTCGAAAAACCGAGACATCAAAAAATTAAAGTACAAACAAAATGTCGTGAAATCGAAGAATTTAAAATGAAAAAAAAAAAAAATTGAAAAATCAAAAAAGTTCAAAATTTAAACTTCGAAATATTGAAAAACCGAAAGTTTAAAAAAGTGAAAAATAAACATGTCGAAATATTAAAAAATCTAAAATTTAATTAACAATTGAAAAATCGAAAACTGAAAATCGGAAATTTTAAAAATCAAAAAATTGAAAAATCGATAAACCGAAAAAAAAGGAAAATTGAAGCATCGAGAAATCGAAACACCAAAAGAGAAAATGAAGAATAAAAAAATCGAAACAGCGGAATCTCGATAAATCGAGAAATCAAAATATGCTCGAAAAAAGTAAAAAATCAAGAAATCGAAAAACAAAAAATTGAAGAATCGAAATATTGAAAAATTCCAAAATTGAAATATCGAAAAGTTAAAAAATCGAAAAATTGAGGAATCGGGAAATAATCAAAAAATCGAAACATCAAGAAATCGTAAACTCGACGAATGTAAAATTAAAAAAAAAAAAAAATAGAAGAACTGAAAAACAGAAATATGGACGAACTGAAAAATAAAAAAAAATCCAGAAATCGAGAAATCGAAAAACCTAAAATTGAAATGGTAGAAAAATTAAACAAACTAAAATTTAACCACTGAAAAAGCAAAAATCCAAAATAAAAAAATTGAAAAATAGGAAATTGAAAAATCGAAAAAGTGAAAAAAAAAGCGATAAATTGAAAAATCGAATCATCAAAAAATTGGAAAATCGAAAGGTCGAAAAATCAAATAAATCGAAGAAAAAAACTGAAGAATCGAAATACTGAAAAATTCCAAAGGTGAAAAATCGGGAAATCTAAAAATTAAAAATAGAAAAACTGAAAAATTTTAAATAAAAAAGAGAAATTGAATAATAACAAAATCGAAACATCGGAATATTGAAAAAATCCGAAACTGAAATATCGAAAACTTGAAAAATGGAAGAAAAGTTTAAAAATCGAAAAATTGAGAAATCGAAAAATCTAAAAATCGAAAAATTTAAAACGGAGAAAACCATAAAACTGAAAAACAAAAAATTTAAAACTTCGAGAAATTGAAAAAAAATCCAAGATATGAAAAATCGAGGAATCCAGAGAACGAGAAATCGATAAATTGAAAACTAAAAAATTGAGAAATCGAATAATCAAAAAATTGATTCATCGAAAAATTGAGAAATCGAAATAGGCCTTCAAAAATCGAACTTTCGGGCTTTTGAATTGTTCGACAGTTTTGGAATTGTCAATTGAAAATTTGAGCATTATAAAATCGAAAGAATAAGCAATCGAAACATTAAAAATTCGAAAAATTAAAACATCGAAAATTTGGAAAATCCAGAAATTGAAAATATGACAAATCGAGAAGTCTAAAAGTCAAAAAGTTGAAGAAAAATCGTAAAATCGGGAAATGTAAAATTAACAAAAAAATAGAAGAATTGAAAAACAGGAATAAAGAAGAACTAAAAAATCAAAAAGTCCAGAAATCGAGAAATCGAAAAACCGAATACTAAATAAAAAAATCGAAAAACTGAAAAATTAAAGAATCGAAAAATTCCAAACCTGAAATGGCGCAAAATTGGGAAAAGCAAAAATCGAACAATCGAAGCATCGAAAAATTCAAAAACTGAAAAACAATAAAATACTTAAAATATCAAATGTTAAATTTGAAGTTAGAATTATGTTTTATATGTGTTTAATTTAATTGCAAAATCCAATTTTTGGAAAAAGTGTAATCACTTCTTCGTTTATTCTAAATTTACCTGCAATCACCAGTTTGTGATTAATGTCTAAATTCTCTAAATTGAAACTTATTTTTTTCTCTCAAACAATAAATGTCTCTGTTTCACTCTTAAAAACGGCATAATACGTCAAGGCACTTTAGTGTGAGTCTACTAACGTTCTGCAAATTTCTGGCAAGTTTATTCTTCTTTCGGCAACAGAAGACCCCAAATAATACTGTGCATGCTACGGAAATCGCCACGAAAGTACCGACGACGTATAGCCATATTACGTGATCTACAAGGACACTGCATAAGGAAGAATTTGTGCGAAAACTACGACAACTTACTACATCTAGTGACGTTGCAAATTTCTTTTCTAATTGGATCACCATCTACGTAACAGAACGGTTGGGATTCGGCGCCACCAGGATTTCTACAAAGTTAATTAAAAAATTATTCTATTATTATATTTAACTATAACAGAGATAATGGTACTTATAACTTGATTTTTTTTTCTAAGAATCTATTGTTTGCCAATATAATCTGCTTTTCATCTCACAGCCAATAAAAATCAGTCTTGTGTAAATAAGCACTAGGCCCGCCCACCCACCCCTTCGCTTTTGTAACGACTAATTTTAATACTGTTACTTTCATTTCAACAAATAGGAGAATTCAAGGTTAGAATGGAGTTGATCTGTTTGATATGCGTGTTTTATACAACTCCCTGAATGGAAAAAATTGAATTAGCCCCTTACCTGCAATAGTTATGCCCTGTCAATTCCGGGTGTTGAGACAAATCGACGTTGAACTGGTGGGCCCACCTCAGGCACTTATTCCCGAACTCGCTCTCGTTCTGGACACCCCTATACAGCGCCCCGTTGTCCCAAAAGCACGTATCCTCTACAAAAAAAATATATATATATATATATCACACTCTTGTCGAAAAAATCCCCCAACCTTTGTCGACGCTCTCGTGGTCCACCCCCAATTCGAGACAATGCCTCGAACTCGCCTCGGTCTCGTTCGGGAGGAACTGGCACTCCTCCAACTCCAGCGTCTTCCCGATAACAGGATGCCTCTTCGCTATCGCGTACTCCTTGCTGCACAACTCCGTCTCCAGCAAAATACAATCCTCCTTGCAAATCCGCCGCAGGTGAATCCCAAACTTGTTCCTGATGTCCTTGTAATCCGCCATCTTCGTTTTGCTCATCCTGGTCTGGTCGATGTTGACTTGTTTCGGGTCCGCACACAACGGAAAGGCCGAGTAGCAGAGGCTAGGTCTGGCGAATTTATCGCAGCTGGCCGAGATATCGCTGTCAAACAAAAAAAATCAGTCAAGGGGGAAAAGAAGTGTCTAGACTTACTTGGACTGCGAGATGACCAGAAAGGCGTCGTGGAGCATCTGTTCGATGTCGTTTTGGCTGTATGGGGGCTGCACGAACACGTGCTGGTTTTTCAAGTAGTCTTCACAGGTCTCTCCGGTGTAGATTTGGCAGAAAGGGGTACTCAGATTGTACTGACGCGTGATTTCTATCATTTTTCCGGTCGATGTTAAGTCGAAGGTTTTCCCGTTGGTTTCCTGGAGGGGTTGTCCGTGGGGGAAGTCCGTCAGTTTGGCTTCGAACACGCCCGAAGCGGGCTTGTTCGGTAGGATGGTGGTTATTTCTCGATCTATTTTGAGAGTGTTGAGCGAAGAAGTGCTACTACTCCGGCTGACGTCACCAAAGACGTCTAGGACCCCATCAGACTGGATTTTATCTTTGCCGTTGGATGCCGTACAGTCGTAGAAACCTTTATCGAACACCTCGACGTTGCTAATGCGTAAGGTGGATTTGAACAAGTGGCGCTCCTTATCCTGAAACCATAACAAAAAAAATTGGTCTAAAGAGTTTAGACAGTACTTCCCTCGCTGTCGGAAACTTGACGACTGCATGGCTATTGTGTTTTTTTCTCATTACATTTTTGTAGTGGGAATTTAAAAAAAATTGCGATGACGTCATCAACATTTTTGCAAGGACACGTATATCAGTTGGGATAGATGTAGTGTAATACTAAGAATAAAATTATTGTATTCCCAAATTTTCGGGAAAATGAATTGGGTCGTTTTGAATATTGATTTTTTATAATCAATAAAATAACGAAACAATTTACTCGCGTATACGGCAACTGAAAATCGTTTATGTATAAACATTCTTAATTTAAGATGACAGGCGTAACAGCATACGTGAGAGTCAAACAGAGAAACTGTAAACAAAACGACCATCGGTTTTATTGCTTCGACTTCCGCTTAATGTATAAAACATTGGGTTTTATTTTAATTCTTGACGGTGAAATTCACAATTGGTTGATTATAAACATGTCTATTTCACATTCGCGGAACCAAGTGAGCGCATAAAACAAATGCAGGTCTGTAATGTTAAAGTCGATGTAAATAAGCGTGCTACCCTTATGTTTCAACCGAGTTTTTTCTTTAACAAATTTTGTGTCTACCAAATTGGGTTGGTTGGGGTGTAATACTAATAATAAGTGTTGCCTTTAATTTAATCAATAAAATAAATTGACTTCATTAATTTTTTTGAACCACCTCTTAAGAAAATCTAAAAAATATGAATGGAATGATAAATCACAAGTACAAACTCATCATATTTTTTGCATTTTAGATAGGATTTATTCAGCAAAATTTAAGGGTGACGTCATCAATTTTTTTAGGAGGGATGAACAAATACATTTTGAACAAAAGTTTACCATGTTTATAATAACATTAAAATATTCTCAAGATTTCAAAGCATTCGGTTTTGTAATTCCTGATTAAATCGATAAAATAAATTCACGCCTTCATTAATTTTTTTGAGTCACCCTGCATATGCAAATCCAAAAATATGAATGGAATGATAAATCACAAGTACAGACTCATCATATTTTGTACATTTTAGATACGATTTATTCGGCAAACTTTTGAGCTGACGTCATCAGTTTTTTGTAGAAGATAACCAAATATATTTTGACTAAAAATTTATTATGCTCTTTATAACCTTAAAACATCTGCAAGATTTCAAAGCATTCGGTTTTGTAGTTCCTGATTAAATCAATAAAATTAATTTACGCATTCATTAATTTTTTTGAGTCACCCTGTATATGCAAATCGAAAAAATTTGAATGGAATGATAAATCACAAGAAGAGACTCACCATATTTTGTCATTTTAGATAGGATTTATTCAGCAAAATTTTGTGGTGACGTCATAAATTTTTTAGGGGGGACGACCAAATACATTTTGATCAAAAATTTACCATGCTTATGATAATTTTAAAATATCTTCAAGATTTCGAAGCATTCGGTTTTGTAGTTCCTGAGTAAATCAGTAAAATAAATTTACGCTTTCATTTATTTTCTTGAATCACCCTGTATATGCAAATCCAAAAAATATGAATGGAGTGATAGATCACAAGTACAGACTGATCATATTTTGTACATTTTAGATATGATTTATTCGGCAAATTTTCGAGCTGACGTCATCAAGTTTTTGGAGGGGATAAGCAAATATATTTTGACTAAACATTTATTATGCTCTTTATGACCTTAAAACATCTGCAAGATTTCAGAGCATTCGGTTTTGTAGTTCCTGATTAAATCAATAAAATATATTTACGCATTCATTAATTTTTTTGAGTCACCCTGTATATGCAAATCCAAAAAATATGAATGGAGTGATAGATCACAAGTACAGACTCATCATATTTTGTACATTTTAGATATGATTTATTCCACAAACTTTTGAGCTGACGTCATCAAGTTTGTGGAGGGGATAAGCAAATATTTTTTAACTAAAGATTTATGATGCTCTTTATAGCCTTAAAACATCTGCAACATTTCAAAGCATTCTGGTTAGCAGATTAAAAATTAAATTTCAAAATGTTGTTTTATAATTTTGATTTTTTTTCCAAAAATCTGGACGTTTCGGGTGAAAAGTCGATTCAGAGTTGTAAACTACATGTGTAGGACTATGTTATTTTATACAATTGAAAACCCATTTACTATGTACAATTTTGAAGTGACGTCATCGCATTAGTGGTGGGGATGATTAGACAAATTTTGGTTAGCGTTTTACCATCTACATGATATTCTTAATATAAGTACAAAATTTCACAACAATCGGTCGAGTACTTTCGGAGATTATCTGTCTAATAAAAATCCGGGACAACAGACGGACAGACGGACAGACGGACGGACAGACGGACAGACGGACAGACGGACAGACGGACAGACAGACGGAAATGGGAGACCTATTTCTTCGTCTTCTAGGGGTCATGAAAGATCGACAAAACGTAAAAGTAGAGAGTCGGCCGACGGACTCGATTACAATACTTCCTTTGCTTACGCTCGGGAAGTAAAAACTGTTGAAGAGTGAATGTCATTGAGGATATATATCTCCAAATTTTAAAAATTGGACCAAGTTACAATAATTGTTGCCTGGTAAGTGCAGATATTTTGGATTTGCATATACGGAGTGATTCAAGAAAATAAATGAAAGCGTAAATTTATTTTACTGATTTACTCAGGAACTACAAAACCGAATGCTTCGAAATCTTGAAGATATTTTAAAATTATCATAAGCATGGTAAATTTTTGATCAAAACGTATTTGGTCGTCCCCCCTAAAAAATTTATGACGTCACCACAAAATTTTGCTGAATAAATCCTATCTAAAATGTACAAAATATGGTGAGTCTCTTCTTGTAATTTGTCATTCCATTCAAATTTTTTCGATTTGCATAAACAGGGTGACTCAAAAAAATTAATGAATGCGTAAATTTATTTTATTGATTTAATCAGGAACTACAAAACCGAATGCTTTGAAATCTTGCAGATGTTTTAAGGTTATAAAGAGCATAATAAATTTTTAGTCAAAATATATTTGGTTATCTTCTACAAAAAACTGATGACGTCAGCTCAAAAGTTTGCCGAATAAATCGTATCTAAAATGTACAAAATATGATGAGTCTGTACTTGTGATTTATCATTTCATTCATATTTTTGGATTTGCATATGCAGGGTGACTCAAAAAAATTAATGAAGGCGTGAATTTATTTTATCGATTTAATCAGGAATTACAAAACCGAATGCTTTGAAATCTTGGGAATATTCTAAAGTTATTATAAGCATGGTAAACTTTTGTTCAAAATGTATTTGTTCATCCCTCCTAAAAAAATTGATGACGTCACCCTTAAATTTTGCTGAATAAATCCTATCTAAAATGCAAAAAATATGATGAGTTTGTACTTGTGATTTATCATTCCATTCATATTTTTTAGATTTTCTTAAGAGGTGGTTCAAAAAAATTAATGAAGTCAATTTATTTTATTGATTAAATTAAAGGCAACACTTATTATTAGTATTACACCCCAACCAACCCAATTTGGTAGACAAAAAATTTGTTAAAGGAAAAACTCGGTTGAAACATAAGAGTAGCATGCTTATTTACATTGACTTTAACATTACAGACCTGCATTTGTTTTATGCGTTCACTTGGTTCCGCGAATGTGAAATAGACATGTTTATAATCAACCACTTGTGAATTTCACCGTCAAGAATTAAAATAAAACCCAATGTTTTATATAATAAGCGGAAGTCGAAGCAATAAAACCGATGGTCGTTTTGTTTACAGTTTCTCTGTTTGACTCTCAAGTATGCTGTTACGCCTGTCATCTTAAATTAAGAATGTTTATACATACACGATTTTCAGCTGCCTGGGATACGTATACGTGAGTAAATTGTTTCGTTATTTTATTGATTATTACAAATCAATATTCAAAACGACCCAATTCATTTTCCCGAAAATTTGAGAATATAATAATTTTATTCTTAGTATTACACTACATCTATCCCAACTGATATACGTGTCCTTGCAAAAATGTTGATGACGTCATCGCAATTTTTTTTTAAATTCCCACTACAAAAATGTAATGAGAAAAAACACAATAGGCATGCAGTCGTCAAGTTTCCGACAGCGAGGGAAGTACTGTCTAAACTCTTTAGACCAATTTTTTCCTTTTACCTTCGTCATTTTGGTGTTCACACGTCCGCTCTTCTCCACCGGCGCGTTATTCTTCCTCCACGAGAACGTCACTCGCGTCCCATTCGCGTCCAAATTCTGCACTTCGCACACCAACTTGACGACCTTCTGTCCCACGTCCACGGTCACGTTCTCCAGCCGCTTCGTGAACACGAGGGTCGCGTTCGAGGACGAATTCGTCGCCGCCTTGTCGTCCTCCTCCTCCTCATAGTCGTACTCTTCGTCGGTCCCCAGCGCTGCAACACCACCCAATTCGTTGAAAACTCGACGCGAAAACTCAAAGCCCGCTCGAAACAACAAACACGCCCGACCTTGGGGGTATTAAGACAATTGAAACGGCGTCGTTGTTTATGTAATTAACAAGTTTGTGTTTATTTGCGGAGTGCGACCTGATTTATGGTCGAAGCGAATTATTGAAAGAAAAATGACACGTGGAAAATCTGATGACTTCATATTGAATCACCGAGTCGTAAAGTTGGTAATTTGTTGTCGGAAAGTCGTCGGTCCTGAGAGTCTTGATTCGACGGGATGTAGGTTAGTACGATAAAATTAAAAATACGGCAAATTATTGCCGACGAACAGTATTTTGATGAGTAATAAAAGTATACATCATTTTGAAAAATGGAATGACGGAAAGTCTGTTTGCCGGTGGGTCTGTGTTAGCGAGAAATAAAATAAACAACATAAAAATCTCTTTGAGTCTTTTTATTTCAGTTGTCGATGACATTTTTATGATATATCAAAAATAGACCAGTAGTCGATGCAGTTATCTAAGATAATTTATAAACAGTGATTCACTTAAGGAATTTGCGCTGATAAATGTTTTCGGTTTTATCGAAGTCTGGAAAGTACACAGCAGGACTGAAAAAAATCGGCGATAATAATCGATACGTGGTGACAATTTTGCTAGTTCATTGTGTACTATAAAAATTAAAATTGGCTTCTCGTTTTTCTCATTTTGTGTTTAAATGCAGTTCACATATGAAAAAATAAAGTTTAGCCCCGCCCACCCACCCCTACTACATTTCATTGATTTTGTCCAGCAATAACCAGAAAAACGATCAAAAAACGTAAAGCAAAAGGTCGAAAAAGCAGACACCAAAACAGAACAAAACAGAAAAAAATGTAAAAAAGCGAAAAAAACGCCAAAAAACCGAAAACGAACGTCAAAAAAGCGAAACAAAGAGGTGTTAAAACAGACAAACATTTCTATAAAAAAGGTGTCAAAAAAGCGCCAAAATATAAGGCATCAAAACAAGGATAAAAAAACAAAAAAGCACAAACACAAACCTCTTTAAAGAGCTCAGAAAATGTTCAGAAGAAAAAAGAAGCCAAAATTAACCAAAAAAACAAAAATATGCAAAATAAAACGGAAGAAAAAAGTGGCCAAAAGAATGACAAAAATCGATTTCTCGATTTTTCAGTTGTCAGTTCTGCAATTCTTCGATTTTTATTTTTTAAATTTTCGCCTTTTGGATTTTTCAATTTTTCGATTTCTCGATCTTTTCGTGTTTCGATTTCTCGATTTTTCAATTTTTCAATTATTCGATTTTTGATTTCTCAGTTTTTCAGCTTTCCAATTTTTCAACGTTTCAATTTTTCGATTTTTCAATTTGTTAATTTTTCCATATTTTAGGTTTTTAATTTTTAAAATTATTTATTTCTTAAATTTTCGCGATTTTTCGATTTTTAAAATTTTTGAATTTTCGATTTTTCAATTTTTCAATTATTCGATTTTTGATTTCTCAGTTTTTCAGTTTCTCATTTTGTTTAATTTTTCGATTTTTCGGGTTTTTGATTTTTCAGTTTTTCCAAGTTTTAATTTTGGAATTTTTCAATTTATCAATTTTCCCATTTTCGATTTTTCAAATTTTAGATTTTTCAGGTTTCTGATTTTTCAAATTTTAGATTTTTCAGTTTTTTGATTTTTTCGACTTTTCGATTTCTCCATTTTTCTATTTTTCGATTGTTCAATTTCCCGAGTTTTAAATTTTTCAATGATTTGATTTAACCATTTTTCAAAATTTTGAAATTTTCAAATTCCTATTTTCGCTTGGGTTATTTCGATTTCTCGATTTATTCGATTTTTGATTTCTCAGTTTTTCAGCTTTCCAATTTTTCAACGTTTCAGTTTCGGGATGTTTCGATTTTTCAATTCGTTAATTTTTCGATATTTTAGGTTTTTAATTTTTAAAATTATTTATTTTTTAAATTTTCGATTGTTCAGTTTCACGATTTTTCAATTTTTGATTTATCCATTTTTTTAAACTTTGAAATTTTCAAATTTCTATTTTTCGTTTGGGTTATTTCGATTTCTGGATTTTTCAATTTTTCAATTATTCGATTTTTCATTTCTCAATTTTTCAGCTTTCCGATTTTTGGATTTTACAATTTTTCAAACGTTTCAGTTTTGGAATATTTCAATTTATCTGCCTTTCCATGTTTCGATTTTTCAGTTTTTCAATTCGTTAATTTTTCGATTTTTCAGGTTTTTGATTTTGAAAATTTTCGATTTTTCGACTTTTTAAAATCTCTATTTTTCAGTTTTTCGATTGTTAAATTTTTCAATGATGATGATTTAACCATTTTTTTAAATTTTGAAATTTTCAAATTCCTTTTTTCGTTTGGATTATTTCGATTTCTCGATTTTTCAATTATTCGATTTTTGATTTCTCAGTTTTTCAGCTTTCTAATTTTTGGATTTTCCAATTTTTCAATTTCGATTTCTCGTATTTTCAATTTCTCATTTTGTTTAATTTTTCGATTTTTCGGGTTTTTGATTCTTCAAATTTTCGGTTTTTCAAGTTTTTGATTTTTTCGACTTTTCGATTTCTCCATTTTTCAATTGTACAATTTCCTCGATTTTTAAATTTTTCCATGATGATGATTTAACCATTTTTTAAAACCTTGAAATTTTCAAATTCCTTTTTTCGTTTGGGTTATTTCGATTACTCTATCTTTTCGTGTTTCGATTTCTCGATTTATTCGATTTTTGATTTTTCAGTTTTTCAGCTTTCCAATTTTTGGATTTTCGATTTTTCAATTTTTCAATTATTCGATTTTTGATTTCTCAGTTTTTCAGTTTCTCATTTTGTTTAATTTTTCGATTTTTCGGGTTTTTGATTTTTCAGTTTTTCTAAGTTTTAATTTTGGAATTTTTCAATTAATCAATTGTCCCATTTTTCGAATTTTCAAATTTTCGATTTTTCATGTTTCTGATTTTTCAAATTTTCGATTTTTCAGTTTTTTGATTTTTTCGACTTTTCGATTTCTCCATTTTTCTATTTTTCGATTGTTCAATTTCCCGATTTTTAAATTTTTCAATGATTTGATTTAACCATTTTTTAAAATTTCGAAATTTTCAAATTCCTATTTTCGCTTGGGTTATTTCGATTTCTCGATTTATTCGATTTTTGATTTCTCAGTTTTTCAGCTTTCCAATTTTTCAACGTTTCAGTTTCGGGATGTTTCAATTTTTCGATTTTTCAATTCGTTAATTTTTCGATATTTTAGGTTTTTAATTTTTAAAATTATTTATTTTTTAAATTTTCGATTGTTCAGTTTCACGATTTTTCAATTTTTGATTTATCCATTTTTTTAAACTTTGAAATTTTCAAATTTCTATTTTTCGTTTGGGTTATTTCGATTTCTGGATTTTTCAATTTTTCAATTATTCGATTTTTCATTTCTCAATTTTTCAGCTTTCCGATTTTTGGATTTTACAATTTTTCAAACGTTTCAGTTTCGGAACATTTCAATTTATCTGCCTTTCCATGTTTCGATTTTTCAGTTTTTCAATTCGTTAATTTTTCGATTTTTCAGATTTTTGATTTTGAAAATTTTCGATTTTTCGACTTTTTAAAATCTCTATTTTTCAATTTTTCGATTGTTAAATTTTTCAATGATGATGATTTAACCATTTTTTTTAAATTTTGAAATTTTCAAATTCCTTTTTTCGTTTGGATTATTTCGATTTCTCGATTTTTCAATTTTTCAATTATTCGATTTTTGATTTCTCAGTTTTTCAGCTTTCCAATTTTTGGATTTTCCAATTTTTCAATTTCGACTTCTCGTATTTTCAGTTTCTCATTTTGTTTAATTTTTCGATTTTTCCGGTTTTTGATTTTTCAAATTTTCGGTTTTTCAAGTTTTTGATTTTTTCGACTTTTCGATTTCTCCATTTTTCAATTTTTCAATTGTACAATTTCCTCGATTTTTAAATTTTTCCATGATGATGATTTAACCATTTTTTAAAACCTTGAAATTTTCAAATTCCTTTTTTCGTTTGGGTTATTTCGATTACTCGATCTTTCCGTGTTTCGATTTCTCGATTTATTCGATTTTTGATTTCTCAGTTTTTCAGCTTTCCAATTTTTGGATTTTCCAATTTTTCAACGTTTCAATTTTTCGATTTTTCAATTCGTTAATTTTTCCATATTTTAGGTTTTTTAATTTTTAAAATTATTTATTTTTTAAATTTTCGCGATTTTTCAATTTTTGAATTATTCGATTTTTGATTTCTTAGTTTTTCAGCTTTCCAATTTTTCAATTTCGATTTCTCGTTTTTTTAGTTTCTCATTTTGTTTAATTTTTCGGTTTTTCGGGTTTTTATTTTTCAGTTTTTCAATTTATCAATTTTCTCATTTTTCAATTTCGATTTTTCATGTTTCTGATTTTTCAAATTTTCGATTTTTCAGGTTTTTGATTTTTTCGACTTTTCGATTTCTCCATTTTTCCATTTTTCGATTGTTCAATTTCCCGATTTTTAAATTTTTCAATGATTTGATTTAACCATTTTTCAAAATTTTGAAATTTTCAAATTCCTATTTTCGCTTGGGTTATTTCGATTTCTCGATTTATTCGATTTTTGATTTCTCAGTTTTTCAGCTTTCCAATTTTTCAACGTTTCAGTTTCGGATGTTTCAATTTTTCGATTTTTCAATTCGTTAATTTTTCGATATTTTAGGTTTTTAATTTTTAAAATTATTTATTTTTTTAATTTTCGATTGTTCAGTTTCACGATTTTTCAATTTTTGATTTATCCATTTTTTTAAACTTTGAAATTTTCAAATTTCTATTTTTCGTTTGGGTTATTTCGATTTCTGGATTTTTCAATTTTTCAATTATTCGATTTTTCATTTCTCAATTTTTCAGCTTTCCGAGTTTTGGATTTTACAATTTTTCAAACGTTTCAGTTTTGGAATATTTCAATTTATCTGCCTTTCCATGTTTCGATTTTTCAGTTTTTCAATTCGTTAATTTTTCGATTTTTCAGGTTTTTGATTTTGAAAATTTTCGATTTTTCGACTTTTTAAAATCTCTATTTTTCAATTTTTCGATTGTTAAATTTTTCAATGATGATGATTTAACCATTTTTTTAAATTTTGAAATTTTCAAATCCCTTTTTTCGTTTGGATTATTTCGATCTCTCGATTTTTCAATTTTTCAATTATTCGATTTTTGATTTCTCAGTTTTTCAGCTTTCCAATTTTTCAATTTCGATTTCTCGTATTTTCAGTTTCTCATTTTGTTTAATTTTTCGATTTTTCGGGTTTTTGATTTTTCAAATTTTCGGTTTTTCAAGTTTTTGATTTTTTCGACTTTTCGATTTCTCCATTTTTCAATTTTTCAATTGTACAATTTCCTCGATTTTTAAATTTTTCCATGATGATGATTTAACCATTTTTGAAAACCTTGAAGTTTTCAAATTCCTTTTTTCGTTTGGGTTATTTCGATTACTCGATCTTTCCGTGTTTCGATTTCTCGATTTATTCGATTTTTGATTTCTCAGTTTTTCAGCTTTCCAATTTTTGGATTTTCCAATTTTTCGATTTTTCAATTCGTTAATTTTTCCATATTTTAGGTTTTTTAATTTTTAAAATTATTTATTTTTTAAATTTTCGCGATTTTTCAATTTTTCAATTATTCGATTTTTGATTTCCTAGTTTTTCAGCTTTCCAATTTTTCAATTTCGATTTCTCGTTTTTTTAGTTTCTCATTTTGTTTAATTTTTCGGTTTTTCGGGTTTTTATTTTTCAGTTTTTCAATTTATCAATTTTCTCATTTTTCAATTTCGATTTTTCATGTTTCTGATTTTTCAAATTTTCGATTTTTCAGGTTTTTGATTTTTTCGACTTTTCGATTTCTCCATTTTTCTATTTTTCGATTGTTCAATTTCCCGATTTTTAAATTTTTCACTGATTTGATTTAACCATTTTTTAAAATTTTGAAAATTTCAAATTCCTATTTCTGGATTTTTCAATTTTTCAGTTATTCGATTTTTCATTTCTCAATTTTTCAGCTTTCCGACTTTTGGATTTTACAATTTTTCAAACGTTTTAGTTTCGGGATTTTTCAATTTTTCTTCAGTTTTTTCCTTTTCTTTTTTTTCAAAATTGCAAAAAAAAAACAGAAGCAGGCAACAAAAAGATGACAAAAAAGGTCTACAAAAACGATAATAAAAATGCAAAAATTAACACAAAATCGAAAAAGAAAAAGAAACAAAAAACATGAAAAAAGATTTAAAAAAAAACAGAAACAAGCAACAAAAAAATAATAATAAAAAAGGCGTAAAAAATCTGTTAAAAAATGCAGCGGCCAAAAAACAGGTGTCAAAAAATTACAAAAATACTAAAAAAGAGACAAAAAATTAACAAAAACCGCAATAAAAAATAGAACAAAAGACGCGGAAAAATGCGCCTAAAAAATCAAAAAGAGCGTCCAAAAATAAAAATCGAAAAAAAAAGGAACAGAAAAGGCGTCAAAAAAGAGAAGAAAAATAAAAAAAAAGAGTCAACAAAGGAACAAAAAATTAAAAATAAGAAAAAAATGCAACGTACAAGCGAATTGGGAAAAATTGATTTTATGATATAAGTTTTACAATTTTTTTTTTCCAAAAATCTAGTCGTCAAATGTAAAAAATAAAAAAAACTACACACTCTGTGTGGATTATGTTGTGTCGTCCTTGACATTTTTAAACATATTTCGTCGGCGACTATTTACCATTTTGTAATTATTTTAGCCCTCAAAAAAACGCGTTAAAAAAATTTCCACCCCCTCGAAAAAACCCATTCCCCGCCTCTGCTCTGTTTGACCTTATTTTAATTAGTGTCACTAAAAACGTAAACACGCGTGTTTGTATATTTTAATCAGCGTGTAGGTCGTAATCCTCCAAAAACAAACACCTCCACCGCATTCCCGACCCATTCTCGCCGCCGCGACAAAATCCAGCAAAAAATGAATGAACCCACTTGGCACTCTAAAAAAAATCTGTCATTAACCCTCGACCGCCACACTTGGCCCCGACCCAACGAAAACTGTGACATCAACAGCGACAATAATCGCACTCGCCGCCCCCCCGCCCCCCGCCGCAAATCATTTCGCGACCCCAAGCCACGCCCACCGCCGAATATACTCCAACATTCTCGAAATAAGACGCCGATAAATTTAGATCCCTCTAGATTATAAACAGTCGAGCGCCGCGACGCCGCGCGTCGGACAAGGAAACAAGCGCCGCCCCCGCCCCCCGTCCCGGCGTCCGCGAAATCACAACTCGACTTAGTCACGTTTCCGAGATCGCAATCGCCGGAGCGAAGCGCGGCCTCTCAATTGGAGGGTTAGAACGCGACGTCACGCCATTGGTTCCAGCCACCACGTGACGGAAAGGCGCGATGACGTAACGGGGCGCGTTTGGCGTTCGAACCCCGCCGAGCACCGGACAAATATTTATAACGCTCAACATTTCGACACGTGCTAATAACCGGCGAGATGTAAACAGTGAGGGTGGCGAGATGGGCGCCCGAGTGCTTGTTTACCATGGGGACTACCATAAACAAACTCGTTGGGTGTTTTTGAGCCGATGAGAAGTATGTCAAAGTCGACGAATATGCTGAGAACGAGACGAAGGGACAACAACGTCAAGCCCAACAGGAGGTGAGTTGACACACTAGGACCCAAAATTCGAGTACACGCAGCGAGAGGTTATATACGTGTCGTGGTTTTTGCAGGGAGGCGGCGGGGTGCAGGTCGGTACCCAGTAGTTTTTTTTTATTTTTTTGATTTTTTTTCGAAGGCGGTAAATTTTTTCGTTGTTGCGCAGGTTGGACAGGAAGTCGTCGAGGGGCATGATTTACGAGAACGAAGAGCTGAGATTGAGGACGATCAACATCAACGCGGAGATCGAGAGAGGTAAAGTAAATAGTTTGAGAGAGCGAGGCTTCGGGTTCTATTTTAGAATTGCCAATTTCTAAATAATCCGATTGAAGATTTTTGTTTACGCGGGTTATTCACGATTTGTCACTTGTCAAAATGTGACAGGTGTTTAGCTGGATGATTCGTTATAATTTTATTCTGGGCGAGGAAGTGGTGTGGATTTTTTGCGACACAGAAAATTAGCAATAAAAAATTGGCTTGAAGTTGTTTACACAGAACTTCTCTCGCCACTTTGTAAATTACAAAATTTGATTATGTGAATTTTATTTTTCTGTTTTGATACCTCCGATTCCAATATCAGTGAATTCTTTCAAAAATTAAACACCATGGGCCCAATGTTCTTTCGATTTCCAAAAAAATAAAAAAGAAAGAAAAAGTCCCTCAGATATTTTCAAAATTTCAAACGAAGCACAAGGGATCCCGAAGATTATTTCACAACATTAAAAAAGTAATCTAGGGGTCCCAAGAATTTTTCAACATCATTCAGAAAAAGTAATCCTTGGATTTTTTTTTTCAAAAATTGAACCCAAGGTACTTCAGGAATCGCAGATTCAACATTTTTCAAAAAAAAAAAAAAACAGCCCCCCACCCTCCACCACTCTCGAGTATTTTTACAAATTAAAAAAAAAAAAAAAAGAAAACAAGGAGTCCCAAAGATTTGAAGATTTTTTTATCTACAAATTTTTTCAAAAATAAAACAAAAAATCATCAAGGTACTTTCACAACATTCCTTAAAAAAAACGTAGCAGAAGATCTTTTCAACATTTTTCAGAAAAAAAAAAAAACAGGATCCCGGAGATTTTTTTTTCAAATTATTTCAAAAATAATAACGCAAGAGGTCCCTAAGATTGTCAAATTAAAAAAAAAACCCTCTTAGGGTCCCTTTGATTTTTCAATATTAAAAAAAAAAACACGAAAAGTACTTGAAATTTTTTTCAAATTTTCACACGAAACACGAGGGACTCGACCTTTCAATATTTTCCAGAAAAAAAAACACCATAAACCCCAGAGATTTTTTCAAATTCTTTCAACAATAAAACACAAAAGGTCCTCAAAGTCCTTTCACAACATTGCTTAAAAAAACCGTAGGAATCCCAAAGATTCCTTCAACATATTTTCGAAAAAAAAAAAAAAAAACCACCAGGGGTGCCAGAGATTTTTTCAAATCCCTTCAAAAATAATACTCAAAAGGTTCCGAAGATTCTTAAAAAAAAAACACTCTAGATCTCCCAAAGATTTTATATATTTTTTTTAATTATTTCAAACACTGCGGGGGGGGAGCTGAAGAATCTTCAATCTCTAAAAAAAAAATTCAAACGGATCACGAGGCACTCTGAAGATTCTTCACATTTTCCAGAAAAAAAAAGCCCTAAGCCCCGGAAATTTTTTTCTAATTCTTTCAAAAATAAAACACAAAGGAACTTAAAACAGGAGTACCAAAAATTTTTTAATTATCTTTCAGAAATAAGCACAAGGGGTTATTTTTTACAAATTCTTCCAAAAATAAAACTCAAGAGGTCTCGAAAATTGACTCATAACATTTTTAAAAGAACACTCTTAGGGTCCCAAAGATTCCATCTTTCACAAAAAAAATATTAGGGGTCTTTTCGGAGCTTTTTCTGATCTTTTCAAAAATAAAACACAGGGGGTTTCGAAGATTCTTTCACAATATTCTTAAAAAAAAACACCAGAGGTCCCACTGGAATTTTTTACAAATTCTTTAAAAAATGAAACACAAAAAAACTCAAAGATATTTTCACAAGATTCCTTAAAAAACCGTAGAAGTTCCAAAGATTGTTTCAATATATTTCAAAAAAAAAAAAAAACAGGGATGTCCCAGAGATTTTTTTCAAATCCCTTAATACCTGAATTTTTTTTCAAATTTTCTGACTGAAGATTCTTTCAACATTTTCCAGAAAAAAAAAACACCATAAGCCCCAGATATTTTTTCAAATTCTTTCAAAAATAAAACACAAAAGGTCCTCACAGTCCGTTCACAACATTCCTTAAAAAAACCGTAGGAATTCTAAAGATTCCTTCAACATATTTTCGAAAAAAAAAAACAGGGGTGCCAAAGAGATTTTTTCAAATCCCTTTAAAAATAATACTCAAAAGGTTCCGAAGATTCTTAAAAACAAAAAAAAAAAAAACACTCCAGAGGTCCCAAAGATTCTTGAATATTTTTCAGAAAAAAAAGATCACCGAAGATTTTATATATTTTTTTTAATTATTTCAAACACTCTGGGGGGAGAGAAGGGGTCCTGAAGAATCTTCAATCTCTAAAAAAAAATTTCAAACGGATCACGGGGCACTCTGAAGATTCTTCAACATTTTCCAGAAAAAAAAGCCCTAATCCCCGGAGATTTTTTCTAATTATTTCAAAAATAAAACACAAACGGCCCTTAAAACAGGAGTACCAAAAATTGTTTTATTATCTTTCAGAAATAAGTACAAAGGGTTATTTTTTTACAAATTCTTCCAAAAATAAAACTCAAGAAGTCCCGAACATTGACTCGTAACATTCTTAAAAGGACACTCTTAGGATCCCAAAGATTCCATCTTTCAGAAAAAAAAATTAGGGGTCTTTTCGGAGCTTTTTTTGATTTTTTCAAAAATAAAACACAGGGGGTTTCGAAGATTCTTTCACAATATTCTTAAAAAAAACCACCAGAGGTCCCACTGGAATTTTTTACAAATTCTTTAAAAAATGAAACACAAAAAAACTCAAAGATATTTTCACAACATTCCTTAAAAAACCGTAGAAATTCCAAAGTTTATTATTTCAACATCTTAAAAAAAAAAAACACCAGGGATGCCCTAGAGATTTTTTTCAAATACCTTCAACAATAATAATACTCAAGAGGTTCCGCAGATTCTTAAAAAAAAAAAAAAAACCACTATAGAGGTCCCAAAGATTCTTGAATATTTTTCAGAAAAAAAAAGATCACCGAAGATTTTATTATTATTTTTTAAAATTATTTCAAACACGGGGGGGGGCTGAAGAATCTTCAATCTCTAAAAAAAAAATTCAAACGGATCACGAGGCACTCTGAAGATTCTTCAACATTTTCCAGAAAAAAAAGCCCTAAGCCCCGGAAATTTTTTCTAATTATTTCAAAAATAAAACACAAAGGGCTCTTAAAACAGGAGTTGCAAAAATTTTTTATTATCTTTCAGAAATAAGTACAAGGGGTTATTTTTTTGCAAATTCTTCCAAAAATAAAACTCAAGAGGTCCCGAAAATTGACTCATAACATTCTTAAAAGGACACTCTTAGGATCCCAAAGATTCCATCTTTCAGAAAAAAAAATAGGGGTCTTTTCGGAGCTTTTTTTAATTCTTTCAAAAATAAAACACAGGGGGTTTCGAAGATTCTTTCACAATATTGTTTAAAAAAAAAACACTCTTGGCGTCCCAAATATTCTTTCAAAATGTTTCAGAAAAAAAAAGCCAAAGGTCCCACCGGAATTTTTTACAAATTCTTTCAAAAATGAAACACAAAAAATCTTCAAGGTATTTTCACAGTATTCCTTAAAAAACAAAACCGTAGTAGTTCCAAAGATTCTTTCAACATCTTTTCGAAAAAAAAAAAAAAACAGGATGCCCCAGAGATTTTGTCAAATCCCTTAAAACCTGAATTTTTTTTCAAATTTTCTGACTCTGAAGATTTTTTCAACATTTTCCAGAAAAAAAAAACACTATAAGCCCGGGATATTTTTTCAAATTCTTTCAATAATAAAACACAAAGCGTCCTCAAGATACCTTCCTAAAAAACATTGTAGGGGTCCCAAATTTTCTAAAAAAAAGGTTTTATTCTTAGGGTTCCAGACTTTTTCAACATCTTTCCGAAAAAAAAATGACGGGTCCATCAGTTTTTTTTTAATCTTTTAAAAATAAAACACAGGGGGTTTCGAAGATTCTTTCACAATATTCTTCAAAAAAAAAACACTCTTGGCGTCCCAAATATTCTTTCAAAATGTTTCAGAAAAAAAAAACACCAAAGGTCCCACCGGAATTTTTTACAAATTCTTTCAAAAATGAAACACAAAAAATCTTCAAGGTATTTTCACAATATTCCTTAAAAAACCGTAGAAGTTCCAAAGATTCTTTCAACATCTTTTCGAAAAAAAAAAAAACGGATGCCCCAGAGATTTTTTCAAATCCCTTAATACCTGAATTTTTTTTCAAATTTTGTGACTCTGAAGATTTTTTCAACATTTTCCAGAAAAAAAAAAACACTATAAGCCCCGGATATTTTTTCAAATTCTTTCAATAATAAAACACAAAGCGTCCTCAAGATACCTTCCTAAAAAACATTGTAGGGGTCCCAAATTTTCTAAAAAAAAAAGCTTTTATTCTTAGGGTTCCAAAGAGTTTTTTCAACATCTTTCCGAAAAAAAATGACGTGTCGATCAGTTTTTTTTTTAATCTTTTAAAAATAAAACACAGGGGGTTTCGAAGATTCTTTCACAATATTCTTCAAAAAAAAAACCCAAAGGTCCCACCGGAATTTTTTACAAATTCTTTCAAAAATGAAACACAAAAAATCTTCAAGGTATTTTCACAATATTCCTTAAAAAACCGTAGAAGTTCCAAAGATTCTTTCAACAGCTTTTCGAAAAAAAAAAACAGGGATGCCCCAGAGATTTTTTCAAATCCCTTAATACCTGAATTTTTTTTCAAATTTTCTGACTCTGAAGATTTTTTCAACATTTTCCAGAAAAAAAAAACACTAAGCCCCGTACATTTTTTTTCAAATTCTTTCAATAATAAAACACAAAGCGTCCTCAAGATACCTTCCTAAAAAACATTGTAGGGGTCCCAAATTTTCTAAAAAAAAGGTTTTATTCCTAGGGTTCCAAAGCCTTTTTTCAACATCTTTCCGAAAAAAAAAAATGACGGGTCCATCAGTTTTTTTTTTAATCTTTTAAAAATAAAACACAGGGGGTTTCGAAGATTCTTTCACAATATTCTTTAAAAAAAAAAACACTCTTGGCGTCCCAAATATTCTTTCAAAATGTTTCAGAAAAAAAAAAACACCAAAGGTCCCACCGGAATTTTTTACAAATTCTTTCAAAAATGAAACACAAAAAATCTTCAAGGTATTTTCACAATATTCCTTAAAAAACCGTAGAAGTTCCAAAGATTCTTTCAACATCTTTTCGAAAAAAACAAAAAAAAAAACGGATGCCCCAGAGATTTTTTCAAATCTCTTAATACCTGAATTTTTTTTTTAATTTTCTGACTCTGAAGATTTTTTCAACATTTTCCAGAAAAAAAAAACACTATAAGCCCCGGATATTTTTTCAAATTCTTTCAATAATAAAACACAAAGCGTCCTCAAGATACCTTCCTAAAAAACATTGTAGGGGTCCCAAATTTTCTAAAAAAAAGGTTTTATTCCTAGGGTTCCAAAGCCTTTTTTCAATATCTTTCCGAAAAAAAAATGACGGGTCCATCAGTTTTTTTTTTTAATCTTTTAAAAATAAAACACAGGGGTTTCGAAGATTCTTTCACAATATTCTTTAAAAAAAAAAAAAACACTCTCGGCGTCCCAAATATTCTTTCAAAATGTTTCAGAAAAAAAAAACACCAAAGGTCCCACCGGAATTTTTTACAAATTCTTTCAAAAATGAAACACAAAAAATCTTCAAGGTATTTTCACAATATTCCTTAAAAAACCGTAGAAGTTCCAAAGATTCTTTCAACAGCTTTTCGAAAAAAAAAAAACAGGGATGCCCCAGAGATTTTGTCAAATCCCTTAATACCTGAATTTTTTTTTCAAATTTTCTGACTCTGAAGATTTTTTCAACATTTTCCAGAAAAAAAAAACACTAAGCCCGGGATATTTTTTCAAATTCTTTCAATAATAAAACACAAAGCGTCCTCAAGATACCTTCCTAAAAAACATTGTAGGGGTCCCAAATTTTCTAAAAAAAAGGTTTTATTCTTTGGGTTCCAAAGACTTTTTTCAACATCTTTTCGAAAAAAAAATGACGGGTCCATCAGTTTTTTTTTTTAATCTTTTAAAAATAAAACACAGGGGGTTTCGAAGATTCTTTCACAATATTCTTAAAAGAAAAACACTCTTGGCGTCCCTAATATTCTTTCAAAATGTTTCAGAAAAAAAAAACACCAAAGGTCCCACCGGAATTTTTTACAAATTCTTTCAAAAATGAAACACAAAAAATCTTCAAGGTATTTTCACAATATTCCTTAAAAAACCGTAGAAGTTCCAAAGATTCTTTCAACATCTTTTCGAAAAAAAAAAAAACGGATGCCCCAGAGATTTTTTCAAATCCCTTAATACCTGAATTTTTTTTCAAATTTTCTGACTCTGAAGATTTTTTCAACATTTTCCAGAAAAAAAAAACACTATAAGCCCCGGATATTTTTTCAAATGCTTTCAATAATAAAACACAAAGCGTCCTCAAGATACCTTCCTAAAAAACATTGTAGGGGTCCCAAATTTTCTAAAAAAAAAAGCTTTTATTCTTAGGGTTCCAAAGAGTTTTTTCAACATCTTTCCGAAAAAAAATGACGTGTCGATCAGTTTTTTTTTTAATCTTTTAAAAATAAAACACAGGGGGTTTCGAAGATTCTTTCACAATATTCTTCAAAAAAAAAACACTCTTGGCGTCCCAAATATTCTTTCAAAATGTTTCAGAAAAAAAAAAACCAAAGGTCCCACCGGAATTTTTTACAAATTCTTTCAAAAATGAAACACAAAAAGTCCTTAAAAAACCGTCGGAATCCCAGATTCTTTCAACATCTTTTCGAAAAAAAAAAAAGACCAAAGGTACCCTAGAGATTTTTTTCAAATCCTTTCAAAAATAAAACTCAAGGGGTTCCGAAGATTCTTTAACATTTTTAAAAAAAGACTCTTGGGCTCTCGAAAATTCTTCAATCTCTCAAAAAAAAGGTTCCTGAAATTTTTTTCAAATTTTCAAGCGAATCACGAGGCACTGAAGATTCTTTCAACATTTTCCACAAAAAAAAAAAAAAAAAACACTATGAACCCCGGAGATTATTTCAAATTCTTTCAAAAATAAAACATAAAGCGCCCTCAAAATACTTTCCTAAAAAAAAAAAAAAACACTGCAGGAGTCCTAAAAATTCTTAAGAAAAAGGTCTCCCCAGAAATTTTTTCACTCAAGGGGATCTCTAAGATTCTTCAATTTAAAAAAAAAAAAGTACCTGAAATATTTCAAATTTTCAAACGAAACATGATGAACCTTGGAAGATTCTTTCGACATCTTCCAGAAAAGGAAAAAACACCAGAGACCCCTTCGGACTTCTTTTTTACAAATTATTATTAAAACACACGGAGTCCCAAAGATTCATTCAACATTTTTTAGAAAAGAAAAAACACAAGGGGTCCTCCCGGAGATTTTTGCCAGTCCTTTTCAAAAATAAAACAATGGATCTTGAAGATTCTTTCATAACATTAAAAAAAACGGCTCTGGGGTCCAAAAGATTCTTTACTTTTGTAACATCTATCAGAAAAAAAAAAGCACCAAGGAATTTTTTTCAGTTCCTTTCAAAATAAAACACTTTTGGAAAAAAACACCCTTGGGGGTCCCTACGATTCTTCATTTCTTAAAAAAGGGACCCTTGACATTTTTTCAAATTTTCAAATGAAACAAACGACACAGTGGATTCTTACTCCACAGTATTTCAAAACATGAAAAGAAAAGACTAGGGGGAAAAACAGGAGTCTCCTAAATATTTTTAAATTTTCAAACGAATCAGAAGAACCCCTACAGATTCTTTCTCATTTTTAGAAACGATTTTCCCTTGATTGGTACATCTCCCAAAAAATTTTCGTAAATTTCAATTTGTAAAAATGACGATAATTATGAAAAAAAAATCATACAGCGTAATTTTCCCGAAAAATCTGATTCGAAAGCCACTCCATACTTTAGAAATCCATCTTTCCATCAACGTTTCGAAACAGATTTCGATATTTTTATTGAAGTATTTCCGCTTGCACAAAAAATAGAATAAAGTGACTCATTTCCACAGTTCTCGCGTAAATAATTGTTGAAAATACACTTGACACTTGTTTGAAAATATCAATTACCGCTCGCCGCGAAGCATCCACGAACCACCCATATTTCCAGAAACCACGTAAATTATGAAAAATGATTATTTTTAAAACCCGTAAACCCTATTTTTATAAAATAGCTCGATTTACAATAAATATTTACGTATATTCGCATAAATAACGCTCACTATTTAATTTAATTTAATTTTTCGCATTACGTAAACACGAAAAATTCCGCCTTCTTCCAGGCCAATACGACATCAAGAAACTCAAACGCGAGAACGAAATGCTCAAGAAGGAAATCTGGTGCTTGAGGGACGAATACGAGAAGCTCGACAAACTCCTCAAGGAGAAGGAGTACGACTTCTCCTCGTCGTCGTCCACCACCTGCACCACCAGCGACTCGGTAAATACCACCCACCCACCCCCCAAAACCCGCAACTCCTCAAACTTAGGAAAGTTGCAGCTCGTGCACCGAAGAGTTCGACGAAGTCGAGACCTCCCAGAACCTCCAGAACGTCCAGAACATGAAGAACCTCCACGCGGAGTTCGACCACTTGTCGGTGGTGCCGGAGGAGAACAGCACCGAGAACTCCGACAAGAACTCCATCCCGAACGACCAGTGGAACGAGTGCAACATCATCAAGCCGGACCAGAGCTACCCCACGTACGGGAAAGCTAGTACTTTGCCGACGTTGCCTCCGAGGAACTTCTTCTCCCCGATTAAAGTGAGCAAGAGCAACGAGGATTTCTACACGAGCGAGAAGGTGGTGAGCACCGACGCCACGAGCTTCTACCAGAACATGGTGCTGGTGCCGAAGCCCGAGGAGGTGCCCCCCAGGCCGAAGACCGCCACGGATTTGCTGGTGAAGACGGACAATCAGCCGTTCAATGGGGCTTCGAGCAGGAGTACTTTTAGCAACGGGGGGAACCTGGAGGAGTTGTTGAACGATATAGAGACGATCTCGCAGGATATTTTGAAGATCACGAACGACCAAGTGAACTTGGACCAGTCGCAGGGTAAACCGTACAAGAGCGAACTGAGTGTGGTGTTGATGCCCAATCCGATGCCGCTTCTGGGGTTCGACAAGTATAGGAATATCAAAAGTAGCTATGATAGCTTGAACTCGAAGTCCGCTGAGAAGTTGTCTCAGGCGGACGAGAGCGTGGCTTCGCCCTCGATCTTGACCCCCTCGATCTTGACGCCCCCGGTGACTTCGCCCCCCATCACGTCGCCACCGATGACGTCGGCGTCACACTGCGAGCACAACCCGTTCTACTTCGGGCCCGTGAGCGACACGAGTTCCGATTTCTTCAACAGGTAAATAAAACTGCCATGAAGTTACGTGTTTGTATTCGACCTTTCTAAAGCCGATACCAAAGGTGGCGTAGTCGGTAGGAAAAAGAAATTTGTTGGAATTTTTTTAACTATCTGAATTTTTTTGTGTGCCCATTGAAGGCTTTTGGATTTTTCCGATTTCGGTTTGGCAAGTTTTCAATTTTTCGATTTGCAATTTTTCGTTTCGATTTGCGACTTTTCATTTTTTTTTCCAAGTTCAAAATCTAAAAATAGAAAATTTTGTAATTTTTCGATACAGAATCAAAAAAATGTAAAATTGAAGAAAATGGAAAAATTCCAATGTTCTAATTTTATAATTTTTCTTTTTTTCATTATGAAATTTTTCAATTTTTGGATACTTAAATGTTTCGTTTTTACAGTTTCTTGATTAATAATTATAAAAATCGCAAAATTGACAAATAGAGAACTCGAAGAATCGAATAATCCAAAACAACGAAAAATTAAAACAAAATGGAAAAGCTTAAAAACTAAAAACCGAAAAGGCTAAAAATCGAAAAATTGAACAATTGAAAAATCGAAAAATTGGAAGATCGAGAAATCGAAACCTCAAAAAATCGGAAAACCGAAAAATTGAAAGATCGAAAATTCGATAAATTGAAAACTCGAAAAGTCGAAAAATCGAAACATCGAACAATAAAAATCAAATTTAAAAAGTCGAAAAACTGAAAAATCGAAAAACCGAGAAATTCAGAAATCGAAAAATTCAAAAATCGGAAAACCGAAAAGTCAAAATCGCAAAATCGAAAAATTAAAAAATCGAAAAAATTGTGAAATCAAAAAATCGAAAAAGTGCAAAATCCAGAAATGGAAACAAAAAAAATCAAAAAATCAAAAATCGAAACACCCAAAAATTAGAAAACTAAAAATTAAAAATTTAAAAAATCAAAAAATTGTAAAATTGGATAATCGAAAATGTGAATAGAAAATCGAAAATTTGAAACATTAGAAAATTGAGAATATTAATTTTTACAATTTTTCGAGTTTTCCATGTTCAGATTTTCTAATATTTTGTTTTTTCGATTTCAATTTTTTCAACTCCTCGTTTTGCAAATTTTCAATTTTTTAAATTTCCAATTTTGTAATTTTTCGATTTACAATTTCCCGAGTTTTCAATTTTTCATTTCTTCAGTTTCCGGGTTTCCATTTTACAATTTTTTGTTTTTTCAATTTCATTTTTTTAATTTTTCGTTTCTTCAATTTCTCGATTTGCGATTTTCCAATTGTTTTGTGTCAAAATTCAAAATTTAAAGATTTAAAATTTTGTAATTTTTCGAATAAGATTTATCAGTTTTCAATTTTAATTTTTCAATTTTTCGGTTCTTTAATTTTTCATTTCTTCAAATTTTCGGTTTGCATTTTTTCGTTTCGGTTTTTTGTTTTCTTTGTTTTTGCAATTTTTCTAGTTTTCCATGTTCTGATTTTATAATTTTTTATTTTTTCAATTTCCATTTTTTTAATTTTTCGATTTGCAATTTTTCATTTTTTTTTGTTTCGAAATTCAAAATTTAAAAATTGGAAGTTTTGTAATTTTTGAATATAAAATTTATCGAGTTTTCAATTTTTAATTTTTCAATTTTTCGAATTTTTAACATTTCATTTCCTCAAATTTTCCGTTTTCAAATTTTCCTTTCGGTCTTTTATTTTCTCTGTTTTCAATTTTTTGAGTTTTCGATGTTCCGATTTTACATTTTTTTTTTTTGTTTTGTCAGTTTCAATTTTTTGAGTTGCAGTTTCACCAGTTTTCAATTTCCAATTTTTCGGTTTTCCAATGTCTGTTTTTAATTTTTGCTTTTTAAATTTTAGTTCAGAAAATTAAAAAATCGGAAAAATTAAAAAAATTAATAATTTTAATGTCGAAAAATTGAAAAATTTTAATGTCGAAAAATTGAAAAATTTCGAAGTCCAGAAATTGAAAAAATTAAAGTTGAAAAGACGAAAAATTATGAAACCAAAACAATGAAAAATGGAAACATTGCAAAATTAAAGAAAATGAAAAAACGAAAAATTGTGATATCAAAAAATTGTAAAATTGAAAAAAAAAACGGATTTCATTTTTTTTATTTTTTTCAATTCTTCGGTTTTCCAGTGTTCTAATTATGTAACTTTCTTTGCATTGTGAAATTTTTTCAATTTTTGGATATTTCAATTTTTCAGTTTTCAACTTTTCGTTTCTTCAATTTTAGATCAGAAAATCAAAAAATCGGAAAAAGAATCGAAATTAGATCAGACCGTAAGTTCGAATTTTTCAGTTTTTCAATTTTCCGACTTTTGAATTTTTAGATTTTGGATTTTTTCGATTTCAGTTTGGCAAGTTTTCAATTTTTCGATCTGCAATTTTTCGTTTCGATCTGCGACTTTTCATTTTTTTTCCAAGTTCAAAATCTAAAAATAGAAAATTTTGTAATTTTTCGATACAGAATCAAAAAAATGTAAAATTGAAGAAAACGGAAAAATGAACGGTTTTTTATTTGCTTTATTTTTTCAATTTTTCGGTTTTCCAATGTTCTAATTTTATAATTTTTCTTTTTTTCATTATGAAATTTTTCAATTTTTGGATACTTAAATGTTTCGTTTTTTCAGTTTCTTGATTAATAATTATAAACTTTAGAATTTTTCACTTTGTAATTTTTCGATTTATAATTTTTCAATTTTTCGACTTTTCATTGTCACAGTTTTTCGATTCGCAAATCGAATAATCGAAAAATTGAAAGAGCAAAAACCTGAAAAATCGCAAAATTGACAAATAGAGAAATCGAAGAATCGAATAATCCAAAACAACGAAAAATAGAAAAATCGAAAAATTAAAAATAAAATGGAAAAGCTTAAAAACTAAAAACCGAAAAGGCTAAAAATCGAAAAATTGAACAATTGAAAAATCAAAAAATTGGAAGATCGAGAAATCGAAACCTCAAAAAATCGGAAAACCGAAAAATTGAAACATCAAAAATCCGAAAAATCGAGAAATCAAAAAATCGAAAAAGTGCAAAATCCAGAAATGGAAACAAAAAATCAAACAATCAAAAATCGAAAGATCGAAAAATTAGAAAACTAAAAATAAAAAATTTTAAAAATCAAAAAATTGTAAAATTGGATAATCGAATGTGAATAGAAAATCGAAAAATTGGAACTTTCGAAAATTGAGAACATTAATTTTTACAATTTTTCGAGTTTTCCATGTTCAGATTTTCTAATGTTTTGTTTTTTCGATTTCAATTTTTTCAACTCTTCGTTTTGCAAATTTTCAATTTTGTAATTTTTCGATTTACACTTTTCCGAGTTTCCAATTTTTTTTTTATAATTTTTTGTTTTTTCAATTTCCATTTTTTTTATTTTTCGTTTCTTCAATTTCTCGATTTGCGATTTTCCAATTGTTTTGTGTCAAAATTCAAAATTTAAAGATTTAAAATTTTGTAATTTTTCGAATAAGATTTCTCAGTTTTAAATTTACATTTTTCGGTCCTTTAATTATTCATTTCTTCAAATTTTCGATTTGCAATTTTTCGAGTTTTCCAGATTCCGATTTTATAGTTTTTTGTTTTTTCAATTTTCTATTTGCAATTTTTCAATTCTTTTTTTTTTGTTTCGAAATTCAAAATTTAAAAATTGAAGATTTTGTAATTTTTCCATTTAAAATTTCTCGAGTTTTCAATTTTTCAATTCATTAATTATTCATTTCTTCAAATTTTCGATTTGCAATTTTTCGTTTCTGTTTTTTGTTTTCATTGTTTTTGCAATTTTTCTAGTTTTCCATGTTCCGATTCTATAATTTTTTATTTTTTCAATTTCCGCTTTTTTAATTTTTCGTTTCTTCAATCTTTCGATTTGCAATTTTTCATTTTTTTTTGTTTCGAAATTCAAAATTTAAAAATTGAAAGTTTTGTAATTTTGGAATATAAAATTTATCGAGTTTTCAATTTTTAATTTTTCAATTTTTCGAATTTTTAACATTTCATTTCCTCAAATTTTCCGTTTTCAAATTTTCCTTTCGGTCTTTTATTTTCTCTGTTTTTAATTTTTTGAGTTTTAGATGTTCCGATTTTACTTTTTTTTTTGTTTTGTCAGTTTCAATTTTTTGATTTGCAGTTTCACCAGTTTTCAAGTTCCAATTTTTCGGTTTTCCAATGTCCAAATTTTTCAATTTTTGGATATTTAAATTTTTCTGTTTTTAATTTTTGCATTTTTAAATTTTAGATCAGAAAATTAAAAAATCGGAAAAATGAAAAAAATGAATAATATTAATGTCGAAAAATTGAAAAATTTTGAAGTCCAGAAATTGAAAAAATTAAAGTTGAAGACGAAAAATTGTGAAACCAAAACAATGAAAAATGGAAACATTGCAAAATTAAAGAAAATGAAAAAACGAAAAATTGTGATATCAAAAAACTGTAAAATTGAAAAAAAAAGAAAAACGGATTTCATTTTTTTTATTTTTTCAGTTCTTCGGTTTTCCAGTGTTCTAATTATGTAACTTTCTTTGCATTGTGAAATTTTTTCAGTTTTCAACTTTTCGTTTCTTCAATTTTAGATCAGAAAATCAAAAAATCGGAAAAATGAAAAATAAAAATCAAGAACTTGAAAAATCGAAAAATGAAAAATTTTAATATCGAAAAATTGAAGAATCGAAAAATTGTGATTTCAAAAAATTGTAAAATTGAAGAAAAAGGAAAAACGAAGGTTTTTTATTTTCTTTATTTTTTCAATTTTTCGGCTTTCCAATGTTCTGATTTTATAATTTTTTTTCATTGTGAAATTTTTCAATTTTCGGATATTTCAATTTCTTAGTTTCCAATTTTTCGTTTTTTCAATTTTAGATTTTAGAGTTTCTTGTTTAACAATTATAATTTTTAGAATTTTTCTTTTTTACGATGTTTGAATTTTTCCATTTTTCAATTATTGGATTTTAATTTTTTTCATTTTTATCGATTTTTCAATTTTCCAATTTATAATTTTTCAATGTAATGTAATATTCATTAACGATTTTCCAATTTTTCGAATAGATTCGTTTTCTTCTTCCCAATTTTTCGAATCAAATTTTCTTCGATTTTTAAGTTTCTCAATTTTTAGTTTTTCAATATTTCCATTTTTCAGTTTTTCGATTTTGTAATTTTTCTATTTTTCCGATTTTTTAGTTTTTCCATTTTTTAATTGTTCTATTTTTCAACTTTTCGAATAAAAAAAAAACCGTAAAAATTACAAAATTGTAAAATTTAAAAATAAAATGAAAAAACGAAAAGCGTAAAATGAAAACTTTGAAAAATCTAAAAACTGGAAATCAAGAATTTCAAAAATTGAAGAAACGAAAAATTGAAAACTCCAAATATCGTAAAATCGAAATATTGAAAATTAAAGAAATCGAAAAATCGGATAATTGGGAAAATTTGCGAAATTGAAAAATCTAAAAATTGGAAAATCGGGGAGTTGAAAAATCAAAGATTGAAAATTTGAAAAATTGAATAAACGATAAATTATAAAATCGAAAGAAACACTGACAAAACAGACTAAAAATTGTGATACAAAAACGAGAAAATGAAAATTAAAAAACCGAAAAATTTTCAATTTTTGGATATTTCAATCTTTCGTTTTTTCAATTTTAGATTTTTCAGTTGCTTGATTAATATTTATAATTTTTGGAAATTTTTCCATTTTTTAATTATTGGATTTTAAAACTTTTTCATTTATTCGATTTTACAATTTTTACAGTTCTATAATCCTCCGATTTTTTTTCGATTTTTAAATTCCTCGATTTTTTCCGATTTTTTTGGTTTTTCCATTTTTCAATTGTGTATTATCAAAAATGAAAAACTGTAATATCGAAAAATTGAAAAAATTTTTTTGAGTATAAGTATTTATAAAAATAGTAGCAGTAAAATGATTAGTAATTCTAAGATCAATAAGTGCATTGATAAACCACAGTTATAGTCAGAATACAAATTTCAGAGCGGCTTTATTCAGCAAAATTTTGACACGTCATCACTTTTTGGGAGGGGATAAAAGAAAATGTTGCCGAACGATTTAGTTTCCCTTTATATCTATGTACTTTTTCCAGGTACAACCCCGACGGCGACAAGCCCCAGAACCCCGCCGGCTCCAAGAGCAACCTCCTCGAGCTCACCTCCTCCGACCTCATCTCCAGCGAGAACGAAGAAAACCTCAAATTCCAGACCACCAAGCTCGACCAACTCCCCGAGAAGAAATCCCCCAAACTCAGCATCCGCCGCAAGGTCTCCATCCACTTCAAAGGCAAACGCGACCGCTCGCTCAAGCCCCCCGAGAAAAAGCACTCCCTCTTCGACTTGCGCTTCGGCGACGCCAAGAAAACCCCCAGCCTCGAGTCGCGCAAGTCCACCACGGACGCCGAGCCCAAGACCCCCACCAGCTCCGACAGCAAGACCGGCTCGGAGCGCAAGAAGGACAAACCCCGCAAGAGCGTCTCCGTGAGCCCCGACCGCAAGCACGTGCACGTCAAGGACGAGAAGAAGCACAAGAAGCACCGGAAGAGCGACCGGGGCAAAAACCGGCGGGGCACCATCACGAGCGTGGACAGGCTGCACCGCGAGCGCTCGTTCTCGGTGTGCACGGAGCGCTCGGAGCACAAGCTGGGGCTGTACGACGACGGGGCGCCTTCGGAGCGGGAAAGGACGAACAGTCTGAGCAGTTGCGAGACGGTGAAGACGAGGAAGATGTCGAACATTTCGAACATTCCGCTGAGCGGGAAGGTGCCGTGGTGCGGGTGCTGGGGCAACGGGTGTATTTAGTTTAGTACTTAAGTGAGACTTACCGAAGATGGTTGCTGTTAGCAGGAAGAGACACACGAGCTTGTTCATTTCGGGTTTAGGGCATCCTCGGCTGCGGTGACATTCTTTCAAAGGTTCTGTGTTTGTGTGTCCCTGAGGTGTGGGTCAAGAGGGCAAGAGGTCGATGCACTGGCCGGAACTGAAATTGAACGACACATAAGCGGGATTCGCACAAAAACGATGTTGTTTACGGAAATAAAACGATTAAATAAATAAAACGCCGACTTTCTTGAAGAAACAAAGGGTTTGAGGGTTTTGGTGGTGTTTTTGTTGGATTGACACTGTTGACAGATTGGTCACCGTTGGGGATTTTTCTGTCATTCGTGTGGGTTGGTACGAGGCGCGAATTTTTGAGGTTATGTTGACCCGAAATAGCAATAAAACACAAAGTGAACGAATTTCCAGAAATGTCCGTTCTGGAATTCTCAAAAACAACCACAAACAGCGTTTTAGGTGCGAAAGCAGCAAAATCGAGCCCTACTACTGCAAGGAATGCAATTTTCGAACTCAACTCACCATAGTGTTCAAACAACATACGCGAGTGAATGGAGACCCCCTTGTCCGAACTTACGTCTGTGATAAGTGCCCCTTTGAGACTCATTTCGTTATTAAGTGGCTTCAGCACACAACCGAGTGTACGACAAATAACAAAACTCCGGACTTGGATAGGGTTATAAATGATCATAGTTACTCTAGGCACGAATACAAACATGTTAAGTTGCCCCCAAATCACTCCCAAATGTGTTGGCACCCCTGTGCTCTCTGCCCCTTCAAAACCGGTTATAAGTCACACTTGAAAGTCCACATGAACGTGCACCATCTGGCAGGCGACGACATCAAATGGTACAGATGTGACCAGTGCCCGTACAAAGCTAAACAGAATTCTAATTTAACAAAACACATAATGGTGCACCATTTAGACAAACACGATGTTAAATGGTACAACTGTGAGAAGTGTTCCTACAAAAGTAAGTTCAATTTTGGGCTCAAAAAGCACATAATCACGCACCACAAGCGTGTAGAGGATATCGTGTGGTTCAGATGTGACCAGTGTCCATACAAAGCCAAATTCAAGACGTGTTTAAATAGACACACGAACTCGCGACATGGGGACGAAAAGGACATTAAATGGTACAAGTGCTCGAAGTGTCCGTTCAAAGCCAAAGTGAAATTTAGTGTGAAACGACACATGAAAGCCCAACATGGGTTTGAAATTTGTTAATAAAATTGATAAAATAAAATAAATTCAACAAGTTTTTTCCTTGTCCTTTTGATTGAAAGTAAACAATCGTTGCTATAGCAACCCATGTTTGCAGAAATGTCAAGTATAGTAACGAAAGTCCCTACTTATTTTGCATTAAATGCACGATAATACCATTGTTTAAGTATATTATAGTTGGACAACCTATACGGACAATCACCTTCCCATGTAGAAAAGAATGAATATATATTTTACATCTCACTCGCTTCACTATGAGGTGGCGGTACCTTACGAAAGAGGGTAAAAATAGTCCGTAAGCACGTGATGTCGATAAGGTAGTAAACGGACATATTAATCAGTACTTTGTACGGGGAGCAGTCACAAAATAAGCAAACGTACGTGTTGAAGACTTTACTGTAATATATGTACATGTAGTGCATACCTGTTTCAAGGTTAAGGTAACAAAAATTTAATATTATCGCGGTATACCTATTATCCATGAACTGCATGGCTAACAAATATGCGTCCCTTCGTCCACTTTAAAGGTATACGAAATTAAACGACCACTACTTTAATTAATAAGTAACAAGTCATCTAATTTGCCTCCAGAATCATCAAACTATGAACACCATATTAATTCAATATGAACATCTTCTTACGTATTTTTTTTTATTAACAGTAGTCAAATCATTAAATACATATTATTTTTGAAACTAAAATGCATTTTATCCTAAGATTGTATCACAAAATATTCATCACCATTTAAATATATACGATTTAGACATCAAGAAATAAATTTAAAATTGCAAAAATTATACTAAAACAGCCTTAAATGTGTCTTGTATGTACGTGCTTATCAGTATGTGGACATTTTAACGCACAGCAATAATCGTTCTTGATGAGTAATGACTGATGACTACTGTAACACAGTAAATCCTCGAAATCGAAAATTTAAAACACTGAAAAATTCAAATATGGGAAAATTGTAAAATCGAGAAATCGAAACATAAAAAAATCAAAAAAATTAAAATTGGAAAATCTAAAATTTAAAAATCGAGAAATTGAACAATCGGTTAATTCAAAAATCGAAACATCGAAAAATTGGAAAATCGAAAAATAAAAAAAAATGGACAATCGAAAATTTAAAAATTCCGAAAATTGAAAAATTGAAATATAGAGAACTGAAAACTCAAAAAATCGAAAAAAATTAATAATTTCAAAAATTGAAAAGTTAAAATTGAGAAATCGAAAAACTGAAAAATCACAAAATTGAACGAAATATCAAAAAATTAGGCAATTAAAAAATTGAGAAACAAAAAAGTCAAAAAAGCAGAGTCTAAAAATCGCAAACTTAAAAAATCGAAAAATTGAAAAATCGAAAACCTGAATAATCGAAAAATTGAAGAACTGAAGAACTGAAAAATCGAAACTTTAGGAAGTGGAGAAATGGGAATATAAAAAATTCATTAATTGAGAAATCCGAAAACTAAAAATTCAGAAACGTCAAAATTTGAAAAATAAAAAAATATTGAAGAACTAAAAAATCGAAAAATCTAAAAATTAAAACATTGAAAAGTTAAAATATCCTAAAACTGAAAAATGGGGAAATCCAAACATCAAAAAATCAAAAAAAAAAAAATAAATAAAAATCTAAAATTTAATAATCGAAAAACTGAAAAATCAACGAATCGAGAAGTTGAGAATTTAAAAAATTGGACAATTGAAAAATCGGATAAACCAAAAATCGAAACATCGAAAAATCGAGAAACCGAAGAGCAAAAAATTGAAAAACCAACAAATCGAAAAATCGAAACATTGTAAAATTCAAAAATTGAGACATCGAGAAATCGAAAAATCAAAAGACAAAAAAAATCGAGGAGTCGAAAAATCGAGAAGTCGAAAAATCAAAAAATTGAGAAACCGAAGTAGGCCAAAATCGAAAAATCGAAAACTTAAATTTGGAAAAATTGATAAAGCGAGAGATTGAATAATCAAAACATCGAAACATCCGAATCTCAATGAATTGAGATCTCAAAAAATTTAAACATTCGTACATTTAAAAAATTAAAATATAGAACTGGAAACTCGAGAAACTGAAAAATCTAGAAATTTAAAAATTAAAATATGGAAAAGTTGAAAAATTGAGAAATTGAAATAAAAAACAAAAAACTGAAAATCCAAAAATAAAAAATAGAAAAATCTAGAAGTCGAAAAATGAAAGAATCGAAGTATTGAAAAATATCAAAACTGAAAGAAATATCCAAAAATTGAGAAATCGACAAACCAATAAAGCGAAGTCGAAAACTCGAAGAATTGAAGAACTGAAAAATCGAAACCTTGAGAAATGGGAAAATCAAAAATAGATTAATTGAGAAATCAAAAAACTGAAAATTTAACGCAATAATTTGAAAAATTGAAAAATTTAAATACTGAAGAACTGGAAAGTCAAAAAATCGAGAAATCGAAAAAACTAAAATTTAAAACACTGAATAATTAAACTATCGCAAAATTGAAGAATCGAGAGATCCAATTTAATTTGAAAAATTGAAAAATCAGGGCATTGAAAAATTGGAAAATCCAGAAATTGAAAAGCTCAAAAGAAAAAAATCGAAAAACCGAGAAATCCAAAAATCGAAACATCGAAAAATTCAAAAACTGAGACTTCGAGAAATCGAAAAATCGGAGGATCGAGAAATTGAGGAGTCGGAAGCCGAAAAGGAAAGTTAAAAATTGAAAAATTGAGAAATTGAACAATCAAAACAACGAAACATCTGAATTCGATAAATTGAGAAATTAAAAACTTGAATAATCGAAAAATTTTAAAAAAGAAAAACTGGAAAATCGAAAATTAAAATTAAAAAAATCGAAAAATTGAAAAATTGAAATATTGAAAAATCTCATAACTGAAAGAAATATTCAAAAAATTGAGAAATTAAAAAATTGGAAAATTGAGAAATCGAAAATCTAAAAAAGCAAAATTGAAAAATCGTAATCTTAAAAAATCGAAAAATTGAAGAATTGAAGATGTGAAAAATCGAAACTTTAGGAAATCCAGAAATGGACAAATAAAAAAAATACTTTAGAAATCGGCAAACTGAAAATTTAGAAACGTGAAAATTTGAAAAATTGAAAAATCGAAATATTTAAAAACCGTAAAATTGAAGAGGACAAAAAATGAGAAATCGTATCATTGAAACATCGTAAGATTGAGAAATCGAAAAATAAAAAAATCGAGAAATAGAAAATTTAAGGAATGAAGGAATCGGAAAAGCCCAAAATTGAAATATTGAAAAATTGAGACATTTAAAGTTGAAAAATCGAGAAATCGACAAGCCGAAAAATCCCAATAGCGTATTTAGGTATGAATCACAAGATCAGGACTATTCTATTTTTTAAAATTTAAATACATAACATTATAAATTGGAAAATGTTGATTTTTTTTTTCCAAAAATCTTGACGTCTAAGGTGAAAACTCGACACGGATGCATAAACCGTTAACGGGGCGAAACTACAATTTTACTATTGTAAAATTTGAAGATTGCGTCATTTCATTGTTCCTGACAAATTTTGGAGAGTGTAATTTGATAATACAATTTGAAATGTAAATTTTGTCATTCGGGAACATTATGTATTAAATCGTTAAGATGTTCAAGAACTTTGTTCACTTATTCGTTGTAAAGTCCAATGGTCGAAATGGGTTAGTTCTTCGTAGTGGATGTGTATCAGATCAACTCTAATGAATATCGGTTTGTAGATAAATGGCTTAAAGCCGATATTGGCCTGAGTGCGCTTTGGTCTGTAGATCAAACAAGTTCTCAGGCGACGAAAAATTGCTTGTGGAGGGAGACTTCGGATTACAAATCGTGCCAAGAAAGACATATTTGGGAGAGATGGATTTTCAGGTGCTTGACTAGCGGTAATTTTAAATTGTTTGCTGTCGTTCGCGAAGTGAAGAACACAATTTCATTAAAATGATAATTATAAAATTATCATAATCACTATTGGTATTAATTAACACAAAATGGCGCGCAAGTCATCAGTTGATTTCGTTAATAAATTCATAGAAACCTATAAGGGATTTTTTCATGCCTTAGAAAATTAAAAAGTAAAAAATACAATAACAAAAATTTTAAAATGCGGTTTACGAAAAATTAGTTGACCTGTGCAAAGAAGAAAATTTTGGAAACGCTGACAAATATGACATCTTAAAAAAAATAACACTTGAAGAAGTGCTTTCGGCGTAATATTTTTGATGCTCGCGTGAACAAAATACTCTATGTCAGTGTGCAGTGCGCAAAGAGTTAACTGTGCAGATCTAGCCGAAAATCCGAAAACCAGATCGCTGTGTGTAGGGCCAACATAACGGAAGTAATAAATCATCCCATCGGTTGAAGAACGTTGGGTCGGTGCACTGATGTCGATGTTATATCCCGAGAGGGGCCCAATACACCCAATAAAATCGAACAGACAAAATAAAGCTTCAAACATGATTATTTTTATACTAAAATTCTGAAGTTTATAAACTGCACATTTTATTTATTTATTTTATCTTGTTTTCGAACTATAATAAACATTTCAAACAATGTGTGTAACTTATTTTAATGTAAATTATATTCATGTGGTTAACAAAATCAGATGTAATATTAGTGTGATTTTGACCATATTCTAGAACACCACGAATCTAAATTTTACTTAAAATCTTGTCTTATTTTAATCTTGTAAAACTAAACAATTATACCAGTTTAAAAACCCTTCGGAAGTTTCTGTCAGTCTTCAGATATAGTCAAATAAAAATATGCGCCAAATTCATTTAAATTCAATTCTTTCTTATCACGTTACAACGCGTTGCTTCATATTTTTTATGTCAAGTATATTTTCATATTTTGTACATATATGTTTATACACATTACTGTTTACGGAACAATGTTAATTATGGATTTATGGATAACTCCTCGTATAAGAGCAGAGTGAAGGGTGTTTGCCTTTGCTAATGTTTGATGGCGCCATCTGATTTAGAGTAAAATAAACCTAATACGTTGGCTCACTGTAGTGAAAATGCGCGTTGACGAAAAATTTGTCCCACGCCCCCTGGATTCCTTGTCCTAAAGCTCACTATTTAGGCGAAGTAAAATTTGTATTAGGTTGTCCAACTATAATATACTTAAACAATGATAATACCCATTTGGGTCAAAAAATCAAACAAACATTTATTTAATCTTGTAATTAAATACACGAATTTTTTGCTATAATCGTCTTTGCGCCGATTTACGGCGATGATATTTTTGCCCTGAATGGGTATTGTGTGTTGCCTACTCTGTTGACAGATGATTAAATTAAATAACCTCACTTTTTCTCAAAACTTAGAAACAGAGTCGAAATTGGTGTGTGCTCAAAGAAAACTAGCATTACACGGATGAAAGCATCCAGCAAACACAAAATTTATTGTTAGCTTGAAATCAACATTAAATTAATAACAAGCCCGGAAACTTCGCGACTCGTAGCAGGTCATGGTATTCGCAGTCCGGTTGGCACCCCTGCCTCACACTCTACTTTTTCGAATGAAATTTCTGAATGTGCCTCCTGAAATTCGACCTGTACCTATTCCTGTACGAACACTGGCTGCACTCGTGCCATTTAACCTCCCTCGCATCCCCATGCCGCGCATTCATCATATGACTCTTCAAATACGCTTTTATCCTAGCCTTATACGGACACTCCTTGCACTCGTACCATTTAACCCCCTCCTCGCAAAAATGGTGCACATTGACGTGATTCTTCAAATTCGACTTCTGTTTAGACTTATACGAACACTTCTGGCACTCGTGCCATTTCAACTCGCCCTCGTCTACGTGTTGCGCACTCACGTGTTTCCGCAGCGACGAATCGTGTTTGGTCCTGAATGGACACTGGTCGCACTGGTACCATTTAACGTCACTATCAATCGCGTGCCGAATGTTTATATGGATTTTCAAATGAGAGTTGATTTTGGCTTTGTATGGACACAAAGTGCATTCGAACCATTTAACGTCGCCTTCGTCCAAATGCCGCAAAGTTATATGTCGTTTTAAATGCGACTTGCGTTTAGTTCGGTAGGGACATTGTTCGCATTGAAACCATCGAATGTCTTTTTCGTCCAAGTGGTACATGTTGACGTGCTCGTTCAAAACCGATTTGTACTTAGTCTTGAAAGGACACTGCTTGCATTCGCACCATTTAATGTCGTCTTCGTCTAAATGGTGCGCTTTTATATGGGTTTTTAAATACGAATTGCTTTTGGCTTTGTATGGGCACTCGTTGCATTTGTACCATTTAATAGCTTCACCTTCCAGATGGTACAAGTTTCGGTGGACGCTTAAGCTTGACCGGTATTTACATTTGTAGGGGCAGTGTTGGCACTGCAACCATTTGATTTCGTCGCCTACCAGATGGCGCGTGTTTACGTGTTTGTTTAAATAAGTGCGACATTTAGCTTTGAAGGGGCACTTTTCACATTGGTGCCACGATATTTCGTCATCGGTTAGGTGTTTGGAGCGTGAATGTTGCTTCAAATTTGACTTATACTTAGTCTGGTATTCACAAAGATCGCACTTATACATGACGTTGGAACTTATCAACTGGGGATTTTTTTCACTAGTCACGCATGTCGTGGTATGCTGCAGCCACTTAATACAGAAATTAGTTTCAAAGTCGCATTGTTCACACACATACTTCTGGACGACGTAGTCTTCACTCAGTAAGGTGCTTCCAGTGTGTTGTTTTAGGTGGTTTTTGAAAAAAAAGGCGAGTTTTGTTTGGAATTTGCACATGGTGCAGTGGTAATTCTCGATCTCGGTTTGTTCACAGTTGAAAGGGGTTAGGCGGAGTTTTTTTGAAAGTCCCAAAGTCGTCATTTTGGTTGGCTGTAAATTAAAAAATAATTATTCGAATTTATGTTGGCTACTCTGACTGTCCACAAAGAGTGCCACCACAAATGCAAAAAAACTACTACGCTGTCTATTTTTTCTAGGTTTGTGGTTCACTCATTATAAAAATAGTCGTCACAGTGAAGCTTAAAAATTAATGTAGTGGTATATAAATCAACACACGCCAATTTCTTCAAAATTGTTAAATTTATTATTGTTGATGTTGAAAGTGAGGTTAGGTTTTTGAACAACGAATTTGTGTTTTCATGATTTTTATATAATCTTGTAAAATTACAAACGTTATGAAAGAGGGTGCGTTTTCTCACCTAATACGTTGATGGTGTGCTTGCAGACACTCGAAACGTGTAAAAAAATATTTTTGATTACAGAGCTATAACCTCAAAAATTGACGTTGAAGGTTAGATTTATGCAACACATTATACCCTCAAACTTGACACTAAATACCACTAAAATAACGATCGCAAGTGCGTTTAAAGTGGAAAAAAGAGTGTCTTCGCATTAAACCTGCTTTGAAAATTCGTAAGAAAAATAAAAATTTGAAACGTTATTAATGACAATAACGTAACCTCAATTTTGCCCCTGAAGATTATGCAACACTTGAAACGACTATCTTCATTCTAAAAATTAAGTAATTTGAAAATTACAAACAACAAAGCGTTTTGTCACACGAAACTTTATTTCATTTTTGCAGTTATTTATTGTGGTGCGAATTCATGTGAGACTTCAAACTCGATTTAAATTTGGTCTTGAAACGACACTTGTCGCATTCGTACCATTTAATATCTCCATGGGTATGTTGGTACTTCACGTGACTCTTCAAATACGATTTATTTTTACCCCTATAGGGACACTCTTCGCATTCGTACCATTTAACGTCCCTTTCATCCAAATGCTGCGTAATCGTGTGACCATTCAAATGGTGTTTGTGCTTAGTTCTATACGGACACTTTTCACACTTAAACCACTCGATCTCTTGTTCACCCAAATGGTGCACATTTTCGTGTTTCTTCAAAATATAGTTGTACTTGGCTCTATACGGACACTTTTCACACTTAAACCAAACCACTTGTTCTTTAAAGTGATGGGTGCCCCGATGGGTCCGCAAACACGTGGGACGTTTAGTTGTGTATGGACACTCAGAGCATTCGTACCATTTGGTATCGTGGTCGTCTAAATGTCGCGCGTTTATGTGTAGTTTTAACGACGAGTTGTGTTTGGTTTTAAAAGTGCACTGTTCACATTCGTACCACTTGAGGTCTTCACCCTCCAAATGAAGCACTTTGTGTTGGGTTAGCGATGCGTTGTGTTTGGTTTTAAATGGGCACTTGTCACACTTGTACCATTTGAAGGTGTCCAAATGACGCACTCGGGTGTGGGTTTTTAAATGACTGTGGTACTTGCTTTTATACGGGCACATTTTACATTCGTACCATTTAATATTCTGGTCGCCTAAATGGTACAGATTGATGTGACGTTGCAAGTTGGATTTTTTTTTGGTCTTGAGGGAGCACTGGGGGCATTCGAACCATTTAATGTCGTCTTTGTTTAAATGGCGCGCTATCGTGTGTTGTCGCACATTTTGCTTTTCTTTACTTTTGTAGGGACACTTGGGGCAAAAGTGCCACTTTATTTCATCGTCGGACAAGTGCTTGTTGATTATGTGTTGTTTCAAGTACCATCTGTATTTCGTACTGAAGTCACAGTGGTGACATTTGTAGACGTTTGTGAGACACGAGTGGGTGTGGTGCAGCCACTTTAGCGAAAAATTTGTTTCAAAGCTGCACTTTTTACACCGATAAGTTCGAAGAATGTCTGCTTCGTTAAGTTTTTCTAGGGTGTGTTGTTTGAAAGTAATCGTCAGTTGTGTCTGAACATTGCAATTCTTGCACCAATAACTGTCTAGGATGGAGTTTTCACAGTTGAAAGGTCCGTCTCGAGTAATTTTCGCTTTTGAAGAAAATGAGTTGGAGCAATCTGGAAATGACATTTTGCTAAAGACTTGATTTGGGTCATAGACGGTTCATTACGCAACAAAAATTATTGCTGGGGGTTTTAAAACGGTCAGAAACGACCGAAAATTGTTTAAATTGTGAAAAATTACAAAAATAACTTTGATGAACATAACCTCACTTTGTTGTTGACATTTTGTAACACGAAATTCCCTAGATCGGAAGTAAAATTTTATTGCCAAATTTTTAAAAATGCTACAATTGACGCTATTTATCCTAGTGCCGAGCACTCATGTGTCTTCTTAAATGCCAACTCTCCTTACTTTTGTACGAACACTTGTCACAACAGTACCACTTAATGTCCTCCTCGTACAAGTGCCTCCTCGCCACGTGACTGTTCAAATGCGACTTCTGCTTAGCCCTGTATGGACACTTGTCACACCTATACCATTTAATATCCTTCTCGTCCAAATGCCGCGCCGTGATGTGCGTTTTCAAGTGAAAACTGAACTTGCTTTCGTACGGACACTGATCACATTTAAACCACTTAACCGCCGCTTCGCCTGAATGTTTAACAACGTGGCGCTTCAAGTGTGCCTTGTACCTGCTCCTGTACTCACACTGATCACACTTGTACCACTTGACTTCCTCTTCGAGCAAATGGTGCGCCTTGACGTGCTGTTTCAAATTCGAATTTTGTTTAGCTTTGTACGGACACTTGTCACATTTGTACCACTTGATGTCCTGCTCGTTTGAGTGTCGCGCGTTCTGGTGGCTCTTCAAATGCGAGTTTTGTTTAGTCGTGAACGGACACAACTCACATTTGTACCATTTAATGTTCCGAATTGAGGAGTGTTTTTCGGTTTGGTGGCTCATTAAGGAGCGTTTTTGTTTGTAAGAGTGGCCACATTGGGCGCAGTTGTACCATTTGAGGACGGTTTTCTTTCTCGGGGGGGGTTTCTCGGTGTTTAGACAGGTGGTGATGTGTTGGAGCCATTTCATGGAAAAGTGGGTTTCGAAGCCACATTTTTTACAAACGTATTGGTGGATGGTGTAGGCTAGGTCTTCGTTTGGGTGCTTGAAATGGGGCTCCTTTAGGTGTCTCTTGAAAAGAAGGGTGAGGTGTGTGCGGAAATTGCAGTCCTTGCAGAAAAAGGTTTCGATGGTGGTGGTTTCACAGTCGAAACGGTGCACTGGGTGGTTGTCCATCGCGCAAAAAGTGGCTGCAGTGTGGGAAAAGCGTGAAAATTGCTGAAAACTGCAATTCGTTAACATAACCTCAAAAAAATGACATGCAAGTCACTAGAAAGTGACAAAATGACAGCTGCAAAAACCAAAAGTAACTAGAATCCATAATTTGTTTTTGATTAATTTATTTAAAAATTAATAATAAAATAACAAAAACAAGCTTCGAGTGGCTGCCGCAGTCAATTGTGTTCCTAATGCTAGCTAAACATGCACAAATTTTCGTTCTGTTTGGTTTTATAATTACATAACCTACATTTGAATCACCTAGATTGATTCATGGATGTCCCCTCATGTGTATCGACATCGACGACTTATTTTTCACTTTATATGTACACTTGTCACACTCATACCACGTCGCTTTCTCCCCCAAATGTCTACAATTCACGTGACACTTCAAATTCCAGCTCTGTCTGCTTCGGAACGAGCAACTCTGGCACTCGTACCATTTAATGTCGCTTCCGTCTGAATGGCACGTGCTCGTGTGTTTTTTCAACGAATAACTGACCTTAGTTTTGAAGGGACACTGTTCGCATTGGTACCATTTAACATCGTCTTCGGGTAGATGGCGCACAATCGTGTGTTTTTTCAACGAGTTGCTCCTCTTAGTTTTGAAGGGACACTCTTTACATTCGAACCACTGAATACTGCTTTCGTTTAAATGGCACACGAGGTGCTTTTTCAAACAATAGTTCCGTTTAGTTTTGAATTCGCACTCTTTGCATTCGTACCATTTAACGTCTTGCTCGTCTACATGAAACGCGATCGTGTGATTTTTTAAGCTCCCGCTTTCTTTGGCTTTGTATGGGCACTTGTCACATTTGTACCATCTGATGTCTTCTTCTTTCAAATGTCGCGCGTTTATGTGTTTGTTTAATGATGAGCTGTATTTGGTTTTGTATTGGCACTTCTGGCATTCGTACCACTTGATGTCTTTTTCGTCGACGTGATGCCACTGGATGTGTTGTTTTAAGTTTGACTGTTTTTTGGTTTTGTACGAACACTGCTGACATTCGTGCCACTTAATGCAACTAGTTTCGTAGATTAATCCGGGTTTTTCGATGCCGTGTCGGGCCCGCATGTGTTTTCTTAAGTCGTAGTCCCGTTTGGTTTTGTAGGAGCACTCGCTACACTGACGCCAGGGTTTTTCATCAGTCGAATGTTTAAAAGTTTTGTGCTCTTTTAACGAATGTTTGTACTTGTATTTAGACTCGCACTGGTCACATTTATGCCACTTTAAAGTTTTATCACTATTCGCTGCAACTTTGTGTCTACTTCTTGTACAAGCTCTCATGTGATGCAACCATTTAAGCGAAAAATGCGTCTCAAAGTTGCACTTTCTACACACATATTTTTTATTATTGTGTTGGGTAACTGAGTCGGCTTTTTCTTGTTTGATTCCATGTCGGTCTTTAATATGTCGCTCGAAAAGTAGCGTTAGATTGGTTTGAAAATTGCAGTCTTTGCAATGGTACGAATCAAGGGGGTTTTCACAGTTGAAAGATACCAAAGGTAGCTGGTGGCGGAGGATGTGGTTCATCATCAGGAAAAACGATGTTGTAACGTATGGGCAGATTTTACAGTCGTGGACGTTTACCAGAGAGAGTTTCTTGGGAGCGGAATATTGCAAAGTCACCATTTCGACTAGTCTGAAATTAGTTCGAACGTGATTGTAGAACTGAATCTTGGATTTTTTACCTGTTGGTTGAAATATAAACAAGTTATCAAGTCGAATTGGTTTAAACATAACCTAAAAATGTTGGTAGTTTCAGAGAACATAGAGAAGCGTCATATGTTGGCAACAGTGTTCGTTTCTAACTAGGAATAAAATTAACTAGAAAAAATGTAATAATATTTTTAACGACGCGTTTTAGTTTCGACAAATTGACACTAGTTTTACCAGAATATTACAAGCTGCTTACTGTTTCCTTCACTTTAATTCAGGTCACACGAATTACAGTTCGTCGTCTGAGAACTTGTTTGATCTACAGACCAGAGCGCACTCAAGCCAATGTCGACTCTAAGCGTTCGGAAACGATTTGATCTATAAGCCACGATCCGTGACTTGATACACATCCTAACCTATAATTTCTTGCTGTTTCAACTTTCGAATTCTCAGTTTTTCGAAATTTTAGTTTGGGGACTTTTCAGTTTACTCCTATTTAATATTTAATTTTTAATTTCTCAATTTTTCAATTTCTCGGTTTTCAGTTTTTCTCTTCAATTTTACGATTTTTAAATATTTCGATTTTTCAATTTTTGACTTTTATAAACTCTTTATTTGTCGATTTTTCAATTAATTGATTTTTCAGGTTTTTTGGTTTTTCAATTTTTCTATTTTTTCAGGTTTCGATTTTTCAACTTCACTTTTTTGATTTTTCGATTTCTCAATTTTTCAATTTTTTAATTTCTCAGTTTTTCGACATTTCAGTTTTAGGATTTTTCAGTTTACTTATTATTCAATTTTTCGATCTTACGATTTTGCAGATTTTTGATTTTTCCATTTTTCGATTCTTTAGATTCTCAGTTTTTGGATATTTCAGTTTTGGGATTTTTCTGTTTTTCGATTCGTCAGTTTTTCTTTCATTTTTCAGTTTTTCGATATTTCAGTTTTGGGATTTTTCAATATTTCTGTTCTTCGACTTTTCCATTTTTGACTTCTGGATTTTTCGATGTGGCGACTTTATACTTTTTCGATTTTTAAATTTTAGATTTCTGAATTTTTTGTATTTTAATTTTTCAATATTTAAAATTTTAGATTTTTCTATTTCTCGATTTTTCATTTTAGCTCTTCCATATTTCAATTTTTCAAATATTTCGATTTCTTAATCTTTCGATTTTTCGACTTTCCGGTTTTAGATTTTCTGTTTTTCAATTGTCGTTTTTTCAAATTTTCGATTTTTCAATTTTTCAAATTTGACATTTATAAACTGTTAATTTTTCGATTTTTCAATTAATCGATGTTTTGATTTTCCCATTTCTTGACTTTCGAGGGTTTCGATATTCCTGTTCAATTCTTTAATTTTTCGATTTTTCAGGTTTTTGATTTTTCATTTTTTAGTTTTTTTAAGGTTTCGATTTTTCGACTTCACTTTATGGATTTTGCGATTGCTCAATTTTTTGACTGTTTAGGTTCTCAGTTTTTGGATATCTCAGTTTTCAGATTTTTCAGCTTTTCCCATTTTTCAGATTTTCTTTCATTTTTCAGTTTTTCCATATCTCAGTTTTGAGTTTTTTTAATATTTTGATTCTTCGACTTTTCGATTTTTGACTCCTGGATTTTTCGATGTGTCGATTTTTTTACTTTTTCGATTTTTCAATTTTTCGATTTTTAAATTTTAGATTTTTTAATTTTTAAAGTCTTAGATTTTTCGATTTCTCGATTTTTCATTTCAGTTCTGCGATATTTCAATTTTTCAAGTTTTCGAATGTTTCGAATGTTTCCAATTATTAATCTTTTGATTTTTCGACTATCCGGTTTTAGATTTTCTGTTTTTCAATTGTTAATTTGTCAAATTTTCGATTTTTTAATTTTTCAAATTTGACATTTATAAACTCTCAATTTTTCGATTTTTCAATTAATCGATGTTTTGATTTTCCCATTTCTTGACATTCGGGTGTTTCGATTTTCCTGTTCTTCAATTCTTTAATTTTTTGATTTTTCAGGTTTTTGATCTTTCAATTTTTCGTTTTTTTAAGGTTTCGACTTCACTTTATGAATTTTGCGATTGCTCAATTTTTTGACTTTTTAGGTTCTCAGTTTTTGGATATTTCAGTTTTCAGATTTTTCAGGTTTTCCCATTTTTCAGTTTTTCTTTCATTTTTCAGTTTTTCCATATCTCAGTTTTGAGTTTTTTCAATATTTTGATTCTTCGACTTTTCGATTTTTGACTCCTGGATTTTTCGATGTGTCGATTTTTTTACTTTTTCGATTTTTCAATTTTTCGATTTTTAAATTTTAGATTTTTTAATTTTTACAGTCTTAGATTTTTCGATTTCTCGATTTTTCATTTCAGTTCTGCGATATTTCAATTTTTCAAGTTTTCGAATGTTTCGAATGTTTCCAATTCTTAATCTTTTGATTTTTCGACTATCCGGTTTTAGATTTTCTGTTTTTCAATTGTTAATTTGTCAAATTTTCGATTTTTTAATTTTTCAAATTTGACATTTATAAACTCTCAATTTTTCGATTTTTCAATTAATCGATGTTTTGATTTTCCCATTTCTTGACATTCGCGTGTTTCGATTTTTCTGTTCTTCAATTCTTTAATTTTTTGATTTTTCAGGTTTTTGATCTTTCAATTTTTCGATTTTTTAAGGTTTCGACTTCCCTTTATGGATTTTTCGATTACTCAATTTTTTTACTATTTAGGTTCTCAGTTTTTGGATATTTCAGTTTTCGGATTTTTCTGGTTTTCCCATTTTCAGTTTTTCTTTCATTTTTCAGTTTTTCGATATCTCAGTTTTGGGATTTTTCAATATTTTGATTCTTCGACTTTTCGATTTTTGACTCCTGGATTTTTCGATGTGTCGATTTTTCAATTTTTCGATTTTTAAATTTTAGATTTTTCGATTTCTCGATTTTTCATTTCAGTTCTGCGATATTTCAATTTTTCAAGTTTTCGAATGTTTCGAATGTTTCCATTTCTTAATCTTTTGATTTTTCGACTACCCGCTTTTAGATTTTCTGTTTTTCAATTGTCATTTTGTCAAATTTTCGATTTTTCGATTTTTCAATTAATCGATGTTTTGATTTTCCCATTTCTTGACATTCGGGTGTTTCGATTTTCCTGTTCTTCAGTTCTTTAATTTTTTTATTTTTCAGGTTTTTGATCTTTCAATTTTTCGATTTTTTAAGATTTCGACTTCACTTTATGGATTTTTCGATTGCTCAATTTTTTTACATTTTAGGTTCTCAGTTTTTAGATATTCCAGTTTTCGGATTTTTCAGTTTTTCTTTCATTTTTCAGTTTGTCGATATCTCAGTTTTGGAATTTGTCAATATTTTGATTCTTCTACTTTTCGATTTTTGACTCCTGGATTTTTAGATGTGTCGACTTTTTTACTTTTTCGATTTTTCAATTTTTCGATTTTTAAATTTTAGATTTTTTAACTTTTAAAATTTTAGATTTTTCGATTTCTCGATTTTTCATTTCAGTTCTTCGATATTCCAATTTTTCAAGTTTTCGAATTTTTCAAATGTTTCGATTCCTTAATCTTTTGATTTTTCGAATTCGCGGTTTTAGATTTTCTGTTTTTCACATGTCATTTTGCCGAATTTTCGATTTTTTAATTTTTCAAATTTGACTTTTATAAACTCTCAATTTTTCGATTTTTCAATTAATCGATGTTTTGATTTTCCCATTTCTTGGCATTCGGGTGTTTCGATTTTCCTGTTCTTCAATTCTTTAATTTTTTGATTTTTCAGGTTTTTGATCTTTCAATTTTTCGATTTTTTAAGGTTTCGACTTCACTTTATGGATTTTTCGATTGCTCATTTTTTTTACTTTTTAGGTTCTCAGTTTTTGGATATTTCCGTTTTCGGATTTTTTTTGGGGTTTTCCCATTTTTCAGTTTTTCTTTCACTTTTCAGTTTGTCGATATCTCAGTTTTGGGATTTGTCAATATTTTGATTTTTCTACTTTTCGATTTTTGACTCCTGGATTTTTCAATTTTTCGATTTTTAAATTTTAGATTTTTAAATTTTTAAAGTTTTAGATTTTTCGATTTCTCGATTTTTCATTTCAGTTCTTCAATTTTTCAAGTTTTCGAATTTTTCAAATGTTTCGATTTCTTAATCTTTTGATTTTTCGAATTCGCGGTTTTAGATTTTCTGTTTCACATGTCATTTTGTCAAATTTTCGATTTTTTAATTTTTCAAATTTGACTGTTATAAACTCTCAATTTTTAGATTTTTCAATTAATCGATGTTTTGATTTTCCCAATTCTTGACCTTCGAGTGTTTCGATTTTTCTGTTCTTCAATTCTTTAATTTTTTGATTTTTCAGGTTTTTAATTTTTCAATTTTTCGATTTTTTAAGGTTTCTACTATTTTTCGACTTCACGATTTTTCAGTTTTTAGATATTTCAGTTTTAGGATTTTTCAATGTTTCAATTCTTCGGTTTTTCTATTTTTGACTTCTGGATTTTTTGATGTGTTTCACTTTTTCGATTTTTCAATTTTTGGATTTTTTAATTTTAGATTGTTCAATCTTTTGATATTTTAGTTTTTCAATATTTCTTAGTCTTTCGATTTTTCGACTTCCTGGTTTTAGATGTTCTGTTTTTCAATTTTTCGATTTGTTAATTTTTCATTCCCGATTTATCGAGATTTGATTGTTCAGGTTTTCGATTTATCAGTTTTTCAATTTTTATTTTGGCCTATTTCGGTTTCTCATTTTTTCCAGTTTTCCATTTTTTCGTTTTTTTTTTTATTTTTCCGCTTTCCCAATTTTTCAACTTTTAACTTTTTGTTTGTCGATTTCTCTATTTTTCAATTTTTCGACTTCATCACTTTTCGATTTCTCGTTCTTATGATCATTCAATCTCTCAATTTTTCAATTTTTCGAATTTTAAGTTTTTTGATTTCTCGATATTTTGATTGTCAATTTATAAATTGTTCAATTTTTAACTTTTCGATTTTGACCTATTTCGGTTTCTCAATTCTTCGACTTTTCGACTCCATGGTTGCTTGATCTTTTGATTTTTCGATTTCTCGGTTTTTCGATTTTCCAGTTTTTCGATGTTTCGATTTTTCAGTTATCCGACTTTTAAATTTGGGAGTTTCGATTTCTCAATTTTTCGTTATTCGATTTTTAAATTTTAGATTTTTGAATTTTACCTTTTTCGATTTTCTGATGTTTCATTTTTCGACTTTCAGTTCTTCGATATTTCGATTTTACGATTTTTTAAGGTTTCGATTTTTCGATTATTAGATTTCTCGACTTTTCAAATTTTCTATTATTTTAATTTTTCATTTTTTTTCTCACTGTTATTATCATACAGTGATTGAAAACAACCACAAAAATTGTCACTAAAAACATTTAAAAATTCATACAAAATAGAACAGTGTTTCCAAAATTATCATTACTATTTAAATTTGGCGCTTGTTTTTGACGCTTGAGTACTCCCAATGTCAATAAGGGTGGTTTTGCAAAATCAGACTGTATGTCGCACCTATATTAATCTATGGTAGTTTAGTTTAGTTGCTTGATGTTGGTAGTAAAGTAGACAAATCAAAGTTATTTATTTATTATTGAAATTTGTCTACATGTTGGTTTTGCAGTTCTCTGTCGCCTAGAACCATACACTTTAATATTTTTAACATTTAATATCTCATTTTTAGCTTCACACTCAACACCCCCTTCATCGACATGTTCACTTTTCACGTGCCGCGCTAAATTCGACTCTTGTTTGCTACTAAACGGACACTTTTCGCATTCGAACCACGTAACCCCCAAATGCATCGCTTCCTCGTGTTTCTGCAAATGCCTCTTCTGCTTGGTTTTAAACCGACACTCCTTGCACTCATACCACATGACACTCTTCCCACTTGAATGCTGGGTGCTTAGGTGCATCCTTAAACTTCCCTTATGTCTAGTTCTGAACGGACACTGTTGGCATTCGAACCACTCAACGTCCTTTGCGTCCAAATGACGGGCGATTACGTGCCTGCTCAAACATTGCTTTAGTTTTCCTTTATAAGGACACTTTTCGCATTCGTACCATTTCACGTCCACATGCCACGTCTGAACGTGATTTTTCAAAGTGGCTTCTTTTTTGCTCCTGAATGTACACATGTCGCACTTGTACCATTTGATATCGTCCGAATGGTGCGCCTTTACGTGTCTTTTTAAACTTCGCTCCTGTCTGGTTTTGAACCGGCAGTGGTCACATTTGTTCCAGGTGTTGTCGGTGTCGTCAAAGTGGCGTGCGTTTATGTGGCGCGTCAAGGAATGCTTGTAGGTGCTTCGGAAGGTGCAGTTGGCACATTGAAACCAATTTGGTACAAGGTTGTGGTTGTTTTTTTCTGGATTTTGTGAACAGGTCACAGTGTGTTGGAGCCATTTCAGTGAAAAGTGGGTTCCGAAGGCGCACTTTTCGCAAACGTAGGTCGGAATGTCGATTTTAGGGGAAGTTAGCGGATGGTCGCTTTTTTTGATGGTGAGGTGGCATTCTCTGAAGTGTTGTTTCAAGAGGAGTGATAATTCAGTTCGGAAGGAGCAGTGTTTGCAGTGATAAGGGTTGATGTTGGAGGCTTCACAGTTGAAACGTTGTATAAACATTTTCTGTTACTAAAAACGGATAAGTTAGGTTTGTTCTTTATTGTTTTGTTGAGGTTATGATAATCAACCATGGACCTAGTATGCATAATGAAGCATCTAAAAATTTAAGAACTTTGGAAATAGAAATAGAAAAAGTAGAGAGTCGGCCGACGGACTCGATTACAATACTTCCTTTGCTTACGCTCGGGAAGTAAAAATTGAAAAACTTGGAAATTAAAAATTCGGAAAGGAAAAACCAGCAAAAAATAAAATAACTAAAAATTAAAAAATTGTTCAAAAATCGGAAAAAACGAACTAAAACCGAAAAATTATAACAATGAAACATCGAAAAGTTTAAGACTTTGGGAAATAGAAAATATAAAAATTGAAAAATTGTAAAAAAAAAGAAAAAACGCAAAATTGAAGGAAACATTAAAATGTCTAAAAAATTGAAAAATTGAAGAATGGAAAATCGAAAATTTGAGGAACTGAAAAATTAAATAATCGAAAAATTGAAAAGTTGAGACACCGAGAAAATTAATAATAATCAAAAATGAAAAACTTAAAAATGTTAAAACTGCAACATTGAAAAAGTAAAAAATGTAACAATCTAACACATTTCTAAAAAATCGTAAGATTGAAGAAACGAAAAATTGAAACATCAAAACTTAAAAATCAAACTACTAAAAATCGGAACACTAAACATAAAAATTGATTTATTTTGTTTAGTTTGATTTATGTAATGAACACTTTCGTAAATAAATGGTTGTTATTTAAAAATCTAAAAATTTAAATCGAGAAACTGAAAAATTAAAAATCGAAGAACTAAAAGTTGAAAAATTCCAAAATTCCAAACCACGAAAAATTAAAAAATACTTCAAAAATCGGAAAAAATAGGACATTGAAAAATAAAACTGCAAAATTTAGAAATTAAAAAATCCGAAAGGAAAATCAGAAAGAAAAAACCCCAAGATTGCAAACCACCAAACAAATAAAATCACTAATCACTGATCACTGATCGTGATTTTGTGAGATCGTGATTTCGTGATTCGTGATTAGTGATTAGTGATCACTTAATCACTTAATTACTCACTCACTTAAAAACTCAATTCGGAGTCGTAAACTACAGATGTAGGTCTATGTTATTTTATACAATTTAAAACCCATTTACTATGTACAATTTTGAAGTGACGTCATCGCATAAGTGGTGGGGATGATTAGACAAATTTTAGTTAGCGTTTTACCACCTACATGATATTCCTTATATAAGTACAAAATTTCACAACAATCGGTCCAGTACTTTCGGAGATTATCTGTCTAATAAAAATCCGGGACGGCAGACAGACGGACAGACGGACGGACGGACAGACAGACGGAAATGGGAGACCTGTTTCTTCGTCTTCTAGGGGTTATGAGAGATCGAGAAAACGTAAAAGTAGAGAGTCAGCCGACGGACTTGATTACAATACTTCCTTTGCTTACGCTCGGGAAGTAAAAAGCACTAATCTTTTTTTTTGTTATAGTATTTGCTATAAAATTTATTTCTTATTTTATGTACCTGACCTGAGCTGACCTGTCCTCACTTTTTCTATTGTCCTAAGTGAAGAAATTTATACTTTTGTGTAAATATATAAAAACTACTACGAGTCCAAATTTTACAATAGTAAATGTTATTTTTCCAATTTATACTAATAAAATGCTCATTTCGTATGTTAAATCTCGCTATTAAAACAATAGTTTAATCGTAAGGGTGAATAAAATGTTTATATAATCTTTCGGCTTCGCCTCGTGTGCTAAACTGTTTTTTCGTTGGATAAAATTCCCTTTATTCACTTATACCATAAATAGCTATTAAATTGTATAAAATGACATACTTCTCTGCTCGTGGTTTATGAATCTGTATTGAATTTTTACCCAAGGCATGCATTTTTTTTTATTTTCTAGATTTTCACATTTTTTGACATTTCGATTTTTCGATTCTTTCATTTTTCAATATTATTCATTTTTTCTTATTCTGTTTTATGATAATAGTGTCTTCATTTGGTGCACCCCATAATTGCAAAATGAATATTTTCTTGCAAAATGTACCATTTTGACAATGTTTTAAGTTTCTTGTTGTGAAAAGATCAAAAACTTTAAAAATCGAAAAATCAAAACACCCAAAAATCGAAACATTAAAAAACCAAAATATTAAAATATCTGAAAATTGAAAATCCAGAAATTGAAAAGTTCTCAATAATCAAATCCTGAAAAAATGAGTATTGAAAACTTGAAAAATTGAGAAATCCAAGCATCAAAAAATAGTAAAATCGAAAAATGTAAAATTTTAAAAATCCAAAAATTGAGAAATAAAAGAAAAGAAAAATCAAAAATTTAAAAATTCGAAAAATTGAAAAATTATAATATCGAAAAATTGAAGAATTGGGAAATCGAAACACCAAAAAAATCAAAAAAACAAAAATCTAAAATTCAAAATTCAAAAAATTGAACACTCGAAAAGCCAAAAAGTCGAAAAATCGAAACATCGGAATGTTCAAATACTGAAACATCGAGAAATCAAAACATCAACAGTAGAGGAGTCAAAAAATCAAAAAATTAAGAAATCAAATTAGACGAAAATTGAAAAATCGAAAAGTTAATAATTGAAAAATTGAAACATTATAAATGAAAAAAAATCGGTAAACCGAAAAATTGAAAAATCTAAAAATCGAGAAATTGAACGATCTAAAAATTAAACAATTTAAAAATCGAAGAATTGGAAAACCGAGAACTTGAAAAATCGAATAATCAACAAATCAAAACTTCAAGGAAACCAAAAAAATTAACGGAAAATCTAGAAGTTAAAAATTGAAAAATTAAAATACCTATCGAAAAATTGAAAATCCGAGAAATCTAAACATCAAAAAATGGAAAAATTGAAGAACCCGAAACATTGCAAAATCCCAGAACTAAAATACTGAAAAACTGAAAAATGGAAGGAAAATTGAAACATCGAAAAAGTGAAAAAATTCAAAACTGAAATCTTGAAAAACTGAAAAATGGAAAGAAAATTGAAGAATCGGAAAAGTGAAAAAATCCAAAACTGAAACATTGAAAAATTCAGAAATCGAAAAATTGAAAAATCACAATTGAAGAAAGAATTGACAAATAGAGAAATAGAGAAACGGAAAAATCAAAAAATCAGTTAATCGAAAAATTGAGAAATCGAAAAATTTAGAAACGTCAAAAATTGAAAACCGAAAAATAAAAAAATTTAAAAATCGTAAAACTGAAACATCGGAAAATTGAGAATTCGAAAAATGAAGAAATTCGAGAAACCGAAAATATGAAGAATCGATAAATTGAAAAATCCCAACAGTAAGATGTCCAAAAATTGAGAAATCGAAATCGAGCAAAACTGAAGTATCGTAAAGTTAATAAATTGAAAAACTGAAAATTGAAAAAGAAAATCGTATCAAAAACTAAAAATTCAAAAAATCGAGAAATTGAACAATCAAAAAATGAAAACATTGAAATCCCAGTAAGTTGTGAAAAGATGGTTATGTATACTCAGAAAAAAAAAGACAAAATGTAAGCCCCGCCCACCCACCCACCCTATCTAATAATTGCAAAATCGATATTTCCCTATACAGATTTACCATTTTAAACACGTTTTAAGTTGCTTGTTGTAAAAAATTAGCTACTTATAAATATTATGCCTTCTTTTTTCTAATATGTGTACATAGGGTAAATTTCTAGTGAAGTGTTGGGGATAAAATTTACCTGAAAAACTTAAAATTAAAAAAAATCGAAACACCCAAAAACCAAATTGTTTTCTTTCTTTTCACCTCAAGCAACTTAAAGCATATTTAAAATGGTAAATTTGTGTAGGGAAATATCGATTTTGCAATTCAGCTCCGCCCCTCGGCTTACGACGAATAAAAAAAAATCATCAGAATTGAGATAGGGTGGGTGGGCGGGGCTTATATTTAGCATTTTTTTCTTAATAATACGTAGTCGCCTTTTCGGAACAAGAGACTTAAAACATGTTTAAAATGGTAAATTTTTGTAGACAAATATGATCTTCAATTAAGCTCCGCCTCTCGATCTGACAACGAATGAAAAATTCATCACGATTGAGATCGAGACGGATGGGTGGAGTTTCTCTTTTGGTTTTCTTTCTTAATTAATACATTTAGTTTTCTTTGTAAAACACGATTACTTAAGAATATATTTCACATGGTAATTTCTCGTAGAAAACTAAGAATTTTACAATTCGGACGGAAACAAGAGACATAATTTTTCAAACTCTAAAGGTCACGAAACTTAAAAAAACATTAAATTACTTATCTGCTGAATGAACTTGATTCGAACGTATAAATGTAAATGACAGGTACGTGTATTACATGTTGCATACTCTGAATCTATTTAGCGAATTTAATACCAACATGAAACCCCTAAAAGTACCAACGTTATGAGGTTATGTCGAAAACATTTTGAATTGTTTTTAATTTAATTTACAGGTACGTAACACAAGATTCGTTTTTATAATAAACTTTTAACGTAACAATGCTGCATGAATTTCAGACTAGTAAAGACGGAAACTTTGAAATATTCCGCAGCTTACAAGACACACAGGAAGTCTTCCCTGGTAAAAGTTCACCTTTGTAAAATTCGCCCATTCGTTACAACATCGTTTTTTCTGATGATGAACCACATTGGCTTTCATCAGTCGGCCTTGCCATATTTCAACTGTGAAAACCCCCTTGATTCTTACCATTGCAAAGACTGCAATTTTAAAACCGAATTAACGTTGCTTTTGAAGCGACACATTAAAGACCGTCATGGAATCAAACAAGAAAACAACGATTTAATTGTACAACACAATAATCAAAAGTACGTTTGTGGAAAGTGCGGCTTTGAGACGCATTTTTCGCTTAAATGGTTACGTCACATGAAACAGTGTCAACAAAGTAAAGACCAACCAAATTCGAAACAGCACATTCAGGGGCATCACGAAGAAAAAGACATCAAGTGGTACAAGTGTGAAAAATGCCACTACCAAAACAAAAACCGCAAAAATTTAAGTAGACAC